GTTGTAATTCCACCGATAAAAAAGGTTAAAACTTATTTAATACAGTTGAAAGTTGAGAATAAAAGAAATTGCTTCTTCATTGTTGAGAATATTAATATCTTATTTTCGTTATTTTGTTGAATTCTTACAATGTAACTATGTTCGGAAAACAAATTTAGACAAAGCTGTCTTGTAGGTAAATACAAGTGGTTAAAAAACTTTCCAAGGACTTGGGAGTTTCATTAGGAAAAACATCACACACCGAACTCGAACTTCGATTTCAGCAGCTATCAATCATTAAAGCAACATCTTTTCCAAGTTATTTTCCTTACAAATTCTTCCACATTTCCATAATAAACGTCTGAGAATTATCCCACTTTTTCCCATAAATATTTAAAATAAGCTACTTCGATTAAGTAAACAAAAACAATAACTAAATCGATTTTTCAGCATTCCTTTGTTTTAAAGAGAATAATAAAGCGTGACACGTTTCACACAATGTTTCAATCTTATGCCGAGACCTACATGATTTTTTTCTGTTCTGAAAGTAGATATTTTCTTGTCATTTTAGTTGTTTAAGTTTAGTCATGTTTGCCAGTCAGCGACACAATGCATTTTTGTGTAGGTTCAATATCAAGTGCAGCCTAGAATTTTTATTAGGAGTTATTCCAGGTGGATTTCAGTAAAAATAACTCAACATATTTTGCTTACAGTGCCCTATTTGTTTAGATATTTTTATAAAATTCCAGAAAATGTATTTCATGAAAAATATTTGAATATTCATGTAAACAACAAATTTCCATGAAATCTTTTGTGTACTGGTGTACCTGCGTAATACAGATATATGTGAAACGTGTGCTATTAAATCATGTTTGGTTACTATTGGATTTCTGATATCAATTGAAATGCATAACTCGCACCTATAAATCGGCGTTGGCGACGTATCGGTAACAATTTATTTAATAAAACCGATCTCTTCTCATTGATTGTTTTGCTTAAATTAACAAATATTAAGATAAAGGTGTAAATAATTCTATTTAGTTTAAATAAACCAAAGTGAGTGATGGATTGGTAGTAAACAAAATTTAAATCTGAAAGCTCTAACATAAATAATTATTGATCAAAGAAACTACAAACTGTTGCAACAAAAATAACTTTTTCCAAAATTCCTTTTACTCTCTCTTCAATTAATGAAGTGTTCACTCTTAATTTGAGATGTTTTACGTCTTTTCCAACAATATAAATCTTGTTGAATCTTTGAGCCACTTGAAATCCACTCTTTAAAAGAAAGTTTTTTCCGGAAAAACCTTTAAGAGAACTTTTAAACCGGAATGATTTATGATGATAACATTGATAACTGTTTTAAAACTCACACAAGGTGTACAATTTATATGACGTTTTATTACAAGGATTATAAATGACGGGACCAGTAATCCTAGTATTATGACACAAATAATTTATTACTCCTAAAACTCAGTGAAAAAAACCTTCCTTGAGCAAAATCTTTTGGTATCAGCATCGGAAGCTATGGGTTAGTTTATAGGAGATAAAGGACGGAAACGGAATTAATGTTATGCCGATGGGGTATATCGACTATTGTTGATTCAAGTGTAAATTAATGTCGCACACGTATAATGTAGAAATCCACTCGGATGTAAATGGGATTGACCTAAAATTTAATGGTATTTAAACTAGACTATTCCGATTTATTAAAAATCTCCGTCCTCGACCATCGCAAACACTCGTTTCATTAAATCGATTTGTCATTTCATTATTCTCGCACTTTACAGCAATTTTATAAATTAACTCCACTTGGAGCCAATGTTCGCAAAAAACTGCAAAAAAGCTTTTTGATTTATTTTCCACTTTTAATAAAGACCTAACACGTTTAGGGTGGAGCTTTGTTTCTCCCCTGTATCCGTATTAAATCATTAATTCCCGTTTAAGCGAAAAACGCGATCGAATAAATCGTTATAGAGCCATAAAATAACATAAATGCTTTTATTTACGAAGTTCTCTAAACTCTTAAAATAAGGTTGTGCGATTTATTTCCATTAAAAATAACCAATCAGGGAATTGAGTCCGTTTGTCCGTTCCAGCAATTTTAGCCAAATTAAATGTTCCACAGTACAAAGAGCCCAATAAAAGAGATTATTTTATTTCGAATACTACTACACGTGCCTGAGTAAAAAGAGTCACCTTAAGGTGTAATTCTTCTTATAAATCTACAAAGTTTCAAACCAGTTGTATTATTTCTGAGATAATAAAATACTTCTTTAAATTGTAGTTTTATTAAAACTGAAGCTTTTGTCGTTTTGGACCCAAAGTGCTCAACGGTAATTAAGTTTTAATTAAATTTATAAACTTGAGAAGTGTTTTTGTTGCAGCATATTTCTCTTATCTAAACCAAATTTCAAATTTCTTTAGGTCATTATAAAATTGTTAATTAAAATATCACCAAAAATTCCAACAGACTGCAAAATTGCATAATTAAAAGTATACAAAACGTGTTTAATTTCTCACAAATTGAAATTTCTGACATTAACAAATTATATTATTAGTGATATTGTTAGAAAATGACCCGACTACTCATTTATCACATAACACCCAAATCACTCAATTTCATGTTTCGTACTTTAACACATTTGTTAATAATTAATCTTGTACAAAGTTTATTTATGTTTAATGGCTCCCACTCATCTGACAATCATATTCTCCAGAGTAAATTACAAAATTGATTTAATATTTTTGCGTAATCAAAATTACACGTGTGGATCTTTTTTGTAAAAACCCCATGTATAATTATTACTAATTGGGTTCCTTTCTTCACTATATCAATACATTACAAAATTGCAAGAAACTAAATTATGTTGGAAACAAAACTGTGGTTTATGTTTTTAATAGCTAGGAGCCTAAATAGTACACCTGCTGCGCCTTATGTAGGTGTGGGTGTGAGTAAAAAAAAAGAAAAGAAAAAACCCAATTGTCTTATTTAACCAAAACATTCTAAAAACAAGAATTTCTAAAATTATTTTGTATAATTATGACAAATTTAACTGCTAAAAGTTTTCTTGATAATAATCTTTTTATTTTCTTCTTCTTCGAACCATAAAATTGTTTTTAAGTACCGAAAAACGGGCATAATTTGGCTTTTATAAGCCTTTGATCTTTTTTTTCATAACCAATCACGGAATACGGAATCACACAAAGACAAAATAGGCGATCTCGATTTTTACACCAAATTCGCCGGAAATAAATTCTTATTTGAGAGAAACTAACGCAATTCAAAATTCAATAAAACGTTGTATGTACCACAGGCATAATTGTCGATTATGGCCTTTAGGACATTAAAAGCCCTCTTAAAGTCGGGCTTTAAACTTTTCTTCGCGCCATAATCTTCTTATTATGAATGAAGTTTGTAGGTATCAACATAGATAAGAACTTTTCATTTCATTGCAGCGAAGTGAAACATTAAGGGCAGAACATTATAGACTTTATTAAATTGTAGAATAATATCATTAATATCTCTCATAGACATTATTGGTCACAAACTAAACGTGTAGTAAAGCAATGAGAATTGGCGCTCACCTAAATTCAAATTAATATTTTGAGAGAAATAATAATATTCTATGGTTCTGTTTTCGTCAATCGGTTGCCTGAAATGTAGAGAAACCAACAACACCTATACCATAGCTCGTTTTTACCAAATTCTGTACAAAAAAGGCATATTTCAGGCTGAGCGCAACTGCCCAGATTGTGTTGAACTTTTAAAAACACTGACATAACTCCAAAGACGGATATTTATCAAAAATGGTTAATAACGTTGTAATTAACAAGTGTAGATGCAGTATTTCCATTTTTTTAATTAAGAAAAAATGTAAAATGTAGAAATATTAAGAGAAGTAATAACAGCAGTACGCAAAACACATCGAACAACACTACTCGAATATTTCACTGCTGCATAACATGGCTTATGCACGAGATACTTCCCTTATTATAAAATTAGATGTAATAATCCATAAACAAATTCGAATAATACTCAATAAGCCAAAAATAGCATGAGCGCAATTACCCGTGGCTCCCCTACCTACTTGATTTTAATCGTTGTAAATATTTGTTGTAATTTTTTGTAAGTAATTAAAATTACAACAAATAAATTAAAATTATTACTAGAATACTAGAGCTGTACTTTTAAAAAACTATGTAATGAATGCTCTTTGTCTTATACCAAATAGAATTATTTTAATACCGTGAAAATGTAAAAAATCAAAATTTTTAAAAAATTTTTTAGATAAATTCAAAAAACAATTAAACCTACCTTGAGCTGTCCCCGATTTGGCGCTTATGCTTTCATTTTCGTCGAGTTTATTGCGTGCTTAAACGTTTTTTCATTAAAAAACATTACTAAAGACTCAAAATAATAAAATTTTACTTCCATTTGCAATAAAAGCTCAAAATGAAGACCAATTACACTTCACACTCAAACCTTCGATTTAGAATTTTAGGTTTAAGAAAGTCCGAAAACCATTTGTTTGAACCCTCAAGTACTGATTCCATAATTTTTCTAAGCTATGCTCAACATTTAAAGTTCCACATTCAAGTGGCATATCAGTTAACACGAAATTTGTCAAATGTGATATTTCATTAATTAGTAACCACTAAAAAACCTCAAAGTCGAAATTAAACTGACATTGAAAAGCCGAATGCTCTCATTGTGGTACAATTAGTTAGTGACATGACCCACGCAGTGGCGAGTGTTACAATGCACATGTCTTTTTTATAGTATTTTTTCTATTGAGCGCTTTTTATATAAAAATCATTATTATGTTTTATTTATATTTGATATTTTAACAAAAATTATTGATGACATTTGACGTATGCGGTACCGAAATCGCTCAAATTACATTAGTTTCGGTGAAATACTGATCCACAACAAATTCACACTTTTAAAATCTACACAGAAATGACAAAAGAAAAACTGAACCTTGTGTCCAATACATCGATGATATTATGCAACCTGGAATATTTAATGGCTTTTATTTCTGAATAAATAGATACAATAAAATAAATATAAAATAAACAAACACTATACACGCAATACTCCACAATAACAAAATACCACTGAAATCACATAGTACGTACATGGTAACAATAATGAAACATAAATAAAAAATTACATTTAGTCTTAATTTAACTTGTCGTTACGACTTGTGCCAGTAATTGAAAAATTAATTGTCAGTAGCGAACTAATTAATTTCTATTTGAATTGTTGTTTGTAATGATGAAAACAATCGCTCGATAGAAATATAATCGCTTTTAATTCGATAAGTAATGAATATAGACCATTTGGTTACATTTCCATCAATATTTCTAATCGCCTAATTATATTACATCGTGAATAGTTAAAACTGTATTTGGTTAGCTTTGGTTTAATAATAATTTACTAGAAAATGTCCAAGACATTGAACAATAAAATGCTGCCTATTTCCGAACAAAATTGAGCAAAATGTGAGAAGGCTCCGTAATCAAGCTAAACGGGTTGAATGTGGATCACATCAATATCTCCAATACTCCTGACACGTCTATGCTGCTTCTTCTTCCGATGCAAACTGCCGCCAATGAAATTCCCAAAAAGTTTCCCTTTCTCGCCCTTCGATATGTTATCGACATTCTGCGCGCTTTTAGTAATTTCGTATTCGTCAATCGACCTCCTGTTCATGTAACTCTCGTATTCTTCCGACCTCCGGTTATAGGCGTTATGATTGGCAAACGGCGTCGCATAAATAGGCGACTCGCCCCCCGACCTCGACGATCTGAAATAACTCAACGGAGGGCTCACTCTGCTGATCACCGATGAGCTCTCCGAGCTCGACGTGGGCGACTGCTTGTCCCTTTCCCTTTCAGATTTGCTCTTCGTGAGACCCAACGCGCGACTCAGTGAGCCCTGAAAGCACACATTCATAAAAACGGCCCTTGGCTGGACACATCGTGTCGGTGCACTTACCCTAGCTTTGCAATCGTTCTTCGTTGCAAGTAGGTTCAATTAGTATTGTTAGTAAGGCATGCAAGGAGCATGCAAGGAAAAGAGGTGATTACTTACCCTGAGACTGGCTCTACGCGACTCGGCACTAATCGGGTCGCGAGTGACGACTGATGGTGGTCCTACAAGTCCTGCACAGGAACGGGAAAATGACCGGCCTAGGGACCCTCCCAGAACACGCGATTTGGCTCTGACTCGAACATAGTGCTCTAGTGTGGATCTAGCATAACAGTGCGAAATCAAAACGATGAAAAAGCAGTGCGGGAAACACAAGCATTCTATGTTGGTTCGGTTCTTTGGGAGGACCGGCTCTGCTTTAGTACAATTTTGCCCCATTAGACAATCGACAGAGAGGAAGTACGTTCTCGATGGGATTTTTAGACCAATCAAAGTATTTTTTCATAATTAACACGAAAAAAGCTAATATTTGATATTTTCACGAGGTTAGTGAAAAAGTCAAAGTTAAAAAGAATTCTCTTGTTAGTGGAGGATTTATATTCCCTACGAAACCTTAGCAACTGATTTTAGTCAATGTTTGTAATTTTTTTCTGACACAACTACTTAATAAATTATTAAATAATAATTTTGCCTCCAAAATCAACACATAATATACAGGCTGTCTCAGCGGGATGGCAAAGTCCATTAGTGACTTTTAAATAATAAAATAAAAAATATTTAAGACATTGATAGATACTAATCTAGTTCATCGCCTAAAATTATTTTCAACTAAACTGCGTGTCCCAAAAATATGTTACAATACTAACTTGTGTTTTTTTTAATGAAACACCATATGTTTCTTAGTATTTTTGGATGTAGATTTTTAAAACAATTGTTTTAAGCTAAATTTTTATTGCTCGATTTTGCTTAGTTTTAAAAATAAGAAGGTTTTTTTGACAAAAACTTGCACTTTTTAAAAATTTATTACACCAAAACGAGGACATCTAGAAATATTTTTTTACTACTGTAAAGAAGAAGGTAGAAGCTATAAGACTGTAACATTTTAGTGTGTTGCATTTGCAAAGATAAAAAAATTAAGACATTTGTTAAAATTTCAATAACTTAAAAAAATTAAGTTAATTTAAACACTCTATTTATTGTTTTTTCATTTAAGAGATTATTTAATTGTGTTTCCAAAATCATTTACTTTTAGGTGTTTAGTTATTGAACTAAAAAGATATTTAACTTTAAATAAACATAAAAAAATAACTATTGTTTCAGTAACCAAAAAAGTGCACAGTTGTACAATAGATGAAAAAAATATCACTTAATAATTACATTTATATTAACTGAATCTATTATTCTTTATTTTTACAATAAAAGAATTCAAATTTCAGTATTTATGTCGAATTTTACAACTTCTGGATAAATCAACAGATAAGTGATCCGTGGTGGAATTACTATGGTTGCCATAGTATTAACAATGCTCATTTATTAAAGGTATTGTTGCTGCAATTAATATTAAATGCCAAATATTTTTTTATTTAACAATTCTGTACATTTAAAAGTTAAATTTTCAGACAGACAATTTAACGGTCTATTAGATGCAAAAACAATAAGTTGGGTGTTCCATTTAATTTTTTTAAGTTATTTAACTTTTAACAAACTTCTTCATTTTTTATTCTTTACAAATGCAAAACACGAAAAATTTGTTACAGCTTTAAATTCTGTACTTTCTTCTTTACAGAAGTAAGAAAAAAATTGTTCTAGCTGTCTTAGTTTTTCTGTAATAATTTTTTTAAAAGTGCATGTTTACGTCAAAAAAACCATTTTATTTCTAAAACAGCAAAATCGACTAATAAAAATTTAGCGTAAAAACATTGTCGTAAAAGGCATCCAAAAATGCCAAGAAACATAGTGTTTCATTTAAAAAACACAAGTTTGTATTGTAACTTATTTTTGGGACATTCTGTATGGTTGAAAATAATTTTAGATTATGCATTAGATTAGTATCTATCAATACATATTTTAAAATTTTATCATTTATAAAGGTCAATATTGGATTTTACCAACTCGCTGGGACACCCTGTATTAATTAGCTTAACCTCGTAGAGCAAATTTGTCATATTACAAGTATGTCGTTCATAAAAAACGACAAAAAAGTGCAAGTAATATTTTCACCCCAAAAAATCAATTTACTAAATACCTATGGATTTTGTTAAAAAATGTTCAAATATGTCTTTCAGTTTTCCCGAAATGTGCAAATGAAGTAGAATAAATGACTAAATAACCGTTTTTCTCCAGACACTTGGTCCTTGTAAATCCCATGATGTGTTCCTTCTCCTTAGTTGGTAAAATTTTGTCGTTGAAATTAAATTTCTAAACTAACAAATAGCATGCAAGAACTGTGTAACATTGAAAAACACCGATGTTCTAACATGGAACTAGAAATTGTCTAATTGTTGTTCTGTGCTATAACATTGAAAATGGCAGTGCAAAGCATAAGCAACATAACATAGAATGTTCGTGTAGAATGTCCCCCAGTGTTATTATACAAAAGAATCCACATTTCACAACCTTTATTTTAAACTATTTATAAACAAAATATTATAATTTGATTATGGATTCAATAAAGGCAAATAGTTTGATTAAATTGAATAACATAGGAATTAAATGCACAATCATCATCGTAACTGCGCCAAAATTATCTAGACTACAACGAATCCAACCGAGTTTTCTGTCTAAATAATTTTGAACACTTGACTAAAAGGCGAAAAAACTTATAATAATTATTATCAAACATGATTGTTTATCTGCCGTGTTTAGATATAACTCTTGCAGCTTCTGCTTGGAGTTCCTCCATTTGACAGAAAATGACGTACCTTGCTGGTAACACCAAAGCTTCAAGCTCGGCGTTTAAATGCCGTCTTATAATATTTTTACTAGCGGGGATCCCCAATGCTGTTGCCATAGTATCGCCGTTAAAAGATGGCTCTAACACTACCAACCCTCCATGCACGCCACTGTCTGCAATAAACCAAACAATTTGGATCTCTTTGCAATTTTCACAAGGTTTACCCTTTAAGTTATCGGCGTATTCAGTCAGATCAATACTTCGCGCCCAACGTATGAATCTTTGATTAGTCCAGACTAGGGGATCTGCATCTATATTTTCGCATTGATGTCTTCGAACGGCGAGTGCCTTCAATCAAACATGAGTCGAGAAAATACCAGCCTTAACAATTCATTACCTGTCGGTCATATTTCATTATACGAAGCAAATGAATTCCGTGAACGATAGACGCCTGATGGAATTTTCTAGTAACTCCTAAATATTTCTCTAATTCTTTTTTGCTAAGGTGTTCCAACATCCGTGCGTCGACCATGTTAGCAGTGAAACTCTCGGAATACTACAAAAAGTTTAATCCATTCCCAAGTAACACTTTAGACACTTACTTGGGCCAATCCTAGATCGGGTAACCACTCACTTGCCACCCAAGTGTGGCCTAATTGAGCAATGCAAGGGTACCTGACCAACGCAGGTTGTCGGTGTTCCTCGATTGCTAATCGGAGTTTTTTCCGGTGCATAGGGTGCGTTATGCCAAGCCCACATTCCAACTCCAAGTCGCTCAGTTCTAAGAGCACCTGGCCATGCAAAGGACCAATCTATAAGATTTATTCACCGTTTTTACCCGGGAAGGGTAAATTCGATAACAACTTGCCTTGCCACTTTTGATATTTTCGGCACATCGAGAGCCATACTGGGGCATTCCCAAAGCGACTTCCAACCAAGCTAGAACAGTAGGTGCCCTCCATCGTTCCATGGGGATTGAAGCGGCTTCCCTCAACAAACGGAGTTTCTCGGCGTAACCTTCTTCCGTTAGAGGAGACCAACTCCGGTAAGACTCAAAATTGTGCTCACAGTTTTCTTGAAGAGAGTTGGTTTTGTTTCTGTGTCTCGATCGGGCAAAAACTCTAGAAATGCTTCCCCAAGTGCCTCCACGGCCTCCTCCCGGTCTCCCGTGCGGATGCTTCAAACGTCTTCCTATAGGTAGTGGTTCAGGATCTAGAGGCGAACTTAATTGTTCCACGGATCTGGAATTTGTTTTTCTTTCGTAGAGTTTGGAATTAATTGAATAGAAATTTCGGGGTTTTATTGGGACTTACCGAGACAAAGCCCCAGTATCTATAGATCTGGAGAAGGTGTTAGCGTTAAGAGGCGATAAAGTAGGACTGCAGTCTTTAGTTGATACAGCTGTAAAAACATATTTAGTAACATGCTTCAAACTACTCATTAGTTTTGTTAATTCAATGTCTACTTGTGCTGGGTGTTGAGACTCACTTTGGTACAAGTGGGGAGGTGGGACCGATGAGACAATAGACACTGAATCTACTTCTACGTTGCTCCCTTCAACTGTAATCGTTGGTGTTCCGTCGGTAGTTGAATCAGATAAATTTCCTGCTACTGAAGTCGCCCCACTTTCCCTGTCAGAACTGACTCTAACACCGGAATCTGCACTACAACTGCCTCTATCACCTGGCAGCAAACCCAACCCGTGATGTCCAGATAACAACCCACCCGATCCGGGAGTAAGAGCGCCTCCATTAATACTGTGTCGAGGTAATGAGGCAAGAGACTCCTGATCTGATAGACATCCACTCGAAGCTAACTGTCTTCGAGCCTAAACATCAATCATTCAAGTGAGAATTATCCGAAAGCAAAACTTACATCTTGCAACTGTTCTTGTGCTTGTTGAAGTTGTAACTCCTTGGCGTTAAGTTGGGCCGCTAAAGATAAACTGCGTTCAGCTTCATCCCTTGCGTGTCGCAATAAACTCCAACGTTCTCTTTCGCGTTCCTCGCGTTCCGTCGAAAGTTGCTGCAGAGAAGTTTCGTTCTCCCTAACCCGCTGAAACAAATTAGCTAGGTAGATGGGAAAACGCAACAAAGAATAGCAGCAGTAAAAGTAAAACGTTGCAGTCAAACCCCTGCCGAATTAACTCACACTTACTTGCTCATAGTTTCGGATAAAGTCCCTAAGTTCCTTTTCTTTATCTTCTAAAGTGGCATAAAGCTGTTTCATCTGACTTAACAGATCGAATTTTTCTGCTTTCAATCGACGCCTATCAGATTTAAGAGCTGCAAAAAGCGCTTTTCAACGTGAATTACCGATGCATGACCGAATTATCTTACTGATTAGGGCTTCTTTGGCTAGTTGCAATTCCATTTCGAGCACGTTCGTCTTACTATCACTAGTTTCAGTGGGAGTTTTCTTTTCAGCGAGAACGGAAGAAGCTCCTGAAACCACCAAGCGTCTCAGTCTTGTTACTTCCGCTTGTAATCTTTCATTTTCGAGCCGCAATCGTCGAATGGCTGACGCTGCTTTCGGATAACTCGAAGGTGAAGGTAAAAGAGCGGAGAGTTCGTCACGATTTCCGTCGGAACTTCGAGGCGAACGCGGCGAAGAAGAATCTGAATCAATAGACGATAATTAAGCTTTCGTGAATTTGTTGTGTTATTACCGATTTCTGGTTGATTGCTGCATCCCGGTTTTGGGGATTCTAGACGTTCAACGTTCTGGTTTTCGGGGGAAGATCTGTCCTTGACCGGACTGGCTTTTTCTTCGACTGTCATCACGTTTTCCTTTTTGTCACTCGTTGTTTCGGTATTTAAGTTTGGACCCTCGCATTTCACTGGGTTAGATTTGGTCTTTTTGACGTCTTTCTTCCCTTTGACGTCGTCGCTGGATTCTACTGAACTAGTATTGCATAAAGATTTACTTCGACGTGATTCGATAGAATTCGGTCGGGAGGATTTGTAAATGTCTTTTTTCAGTTCCGTTAAACACTTAACATCTAAATCACAAGCGGCGGTTTCTTTTTCTTCGGCGCCAAGCAGCGGTTTTACGAAATTTACATCAGAGACCTGACCGATGGGAGAGCCGGACGAGGAATCGGTCAGTTTCAACTCTTGGGAAGGACAAGCGGTGTTGGAAACGGGGGGAGGGATAGAACTGGGATAATCGGAATCTATCCGAGCGGTGAGATTAGCAGAGTGTTCCTCTACCATTCTGCGAAGCTTTGCCTGCAAAAAACCGATTAAAAACGTGTAAAAAGGGGTGCAATATGCAGGAGCAGTCGGAATTGGCATCAACTGCGCAAAAGATGGGCATCCAGGGAAATAAGCGCCGTTATGAATGGCACAAAAGTATGACATTAACAATAAAGAATGGCGTTTAAAGGGCCGTGTACCTGAGCGTCTACGAATAGACGTCGCATCAGCAGCGCCATGGCGGCGTGGCGGCGAGCGCTGCATCTAAGCCCCCCTCCATAGCTGCCCCCCTGACCATTTCAATCGGGGCTGCGTTCCTGCAAAAAAACCGCAACGTGAAAAACTGCCCCGCAGACCATCCAACCATCAAGTTTACAATTTAGTTACGTCCGGTGCGCAAATAACCGAACCGAATTAAGCTCTCTGTTCGGTTTCGAGAAGGTCGTTAACGTTTTATTTAAATTTGATGCATTTTAGATCCGGGGCTTGCATTAGCGTGAGCACTTTTATCGATTGTCACCACGATGGTTTATCAATATTGCCATTAAAATTCTTCGTGCACGGTGCCCTTGTCAACTCGCCTGACCGAACAAACTCCGACTTGGTCGTATGCAGGATTAGGAATGTTGAGGGTGAGGGTTATTGCATTCGGCAGGGGTGATGTGGAACCACTGGACGTGCAATATCGATGCACGCACCCTTTGGTAGGTTAATGCACGGAGGCGGCGAATTTATCGCAAGTTGCTTTATCATGCGTGTCGGTGGCTCCAGGTTCCAGACATCAACGCCAGTTTACGGCTTTAGCTCGCACAAGGGACCCATTAGTTTTAACGACAATTTAGAAAAAATATATTTCGAATAAAGGAACCCATTGACAAAAATCAGTAACATAAATTCTGCAACCGCTATTTTTATTGTCGATTTTACAAGAAATTTCACCAATATCCAGAAAGCATGACAGGAGCTTAAGTAGAGATTTATGGATATTTGTAGCAATAAAGAAAATAAAAAGCTCTGGAACGACCTTCAGATGCATTTTTAAACAATCCTGAAACATTAATTGGGTCAAGAATGTAAGTGCAGATAATGGTCCCGAACATTGGAAATCGATTTCTGTAAATGCGCAAAACTTTGGCGGAAAGAAATTGGATTCAATACATCCAATGAGGAAGAAACGGGCAAGTCATTTATCGGTTTAATATTTAATTCTCCTGGTTTTTACAATGCACTTTAGCATTGTTTTTGTTGCGTCTGTGCCCAAAAGCAGTCGTTTGTAAATTGCATTTCATTGATTTTAACCTAGTATATAACGAAGCTGGAGTTGTAAGATGTAGCTAACTACATTCCCGGAATAATTATTAGCTTCATTTTCCAGAAACTTCCAGTAAACTTTACGAAATATGCTATTATGAATATATAGTTATAATTTTACGTTGCACCTACAGCTCCTGGTTCTAATTAACTTTTCTGCTCCTCTACTAGCTCATCACTTCGAGCTAATCCAAACTTCAAAGTGAGCTAATTATTTTATTTAGAAAATTTTGAAACGTTGAAAGAATAAACAAGTCAATTGTTTAAATGTAAATTAAATAAAGCTTCCACAAATCTACTTAAAGAGTGCGAACTGCAATAAAATCGCCCCTTTAACACAGCCCACAGTTACCTCAGTTTGCAATCAAGTCGCGTCATTGTAATCTGTCCCATTATCGATTGATGATTGCTTGGCCGATAGAATTTGAACGGTTTAAAATGAGCTTTGAGAGCATGTCAAACATTTAAATGGAGCTTAATATTGCTATCGATAAGCCAAACTCCGTTTTTCTCAAGAAATGTGTCTGCCACGTTTCAGGTGCAAAAGGAGGCAATATTTTTGGTTTAACTGGAAGGAGACACTTAACGTTACCAGATACGGTGACTAGTATTAGCCTAATTAATGGTAATGATGAACATGAGAAATTTGCTCATTTCATATTCGTGGTAACGTCGTTGTGCTGAATTTATATCTAGCTGCATAGTATGTACACAAGGCAAGGGAAACACAAGAGCATAAAGAGTGAAGAAAATGTGATTTGAACAATAATTAATTAATCAAAACAGTACAACCAAATTTATTTTGTTTTCTGAAAAATTATTATCATATTTAGTAGTCTTGTTCACTATAAAATTTCAATTAAGCAACAACACCCTCAATAATTTGTAACAAACAGTCCTAATCAACTTATTCATGAATACAAAATTAGGTGCTTTTGTAAACTGGTAAACTGCAAAAAACTGTATTGAAAAATTTTAAGAAAAAAAATTTTTTTACAAGCTCATTTTAACCCTCATCAAAGGCTCTAAAGCTTAATTTAGTTAACATCCTGCAATACGCTTGAATTAAACTTACAAGTTTATCTCGTAACTAAAACAGAAATTTAATCAAACCCGACATATTATAAAAGTCCGTAACGCTTCTGTTGAGCAAACAAAATCCAACTTAACACTTGACATCTAAGACATCCAAAAACAACTAAAGCACGCTCCGTTGCTTTGAGTTAGATCCATCTCCCACGTAACTTTATTCAGTTTTTTAAACAATAAGTAAGCCATCTTGAGACAGCAAATTTAAAGACGTGCCAACTGTTCCAAATGGCAAACTTTGGATACATGTTGCTACTACACATTTGCATTTGCTTATGGAACGACGGGGACGTGGCTATTTTACCAATGAGCCCATCACCGTCAATGAAAATCAAGGAAATTCATTACAGACAAGCGTAATTAATCAGTATTGTACTTGTAGACCTTTTAAAAAGCGTGAAGGATGAATATAACGTCAAGCTGGAAAAAGACAACTGGCCTTTAATTTGTTTCAGGATTTCGTGCTTCAAACTCTACAATCGGCTGAAAATTAATTTTAGTGCAGGATTGAATATAATGGATGGAACAATTGCTGCTCTCTAGAATGGATTTTTCAAACTGTAATTAAGTGGTTCCAGGTTTAACGTCTTTGTAAAAGCTTTCAGGATTCTCTAATAAAGCCAAATTAAAAGTTATGAAAAAAATATATTGGCCGTAATGAGGATTTTCATTAAATGAGTTTCAAAACAAAATTTATAAAATTCAATTATAATTTAATAAAAATAAATAAAAAATATTTAATTACCCATATACGCTTAAGTGAATTTAATTGACATTTGAATACAGATGAAAAAGTTGTAATAATTAATTAAACTCCAAAGATCGGCAATAAGATTTAATAACAAAAATTAAAAAAATATTTAATTACCCATATACGCTTAAGTGAATTTAATTGACATTTGAGTATAGATGAAAAAGTTGTAATAATTAAACTCCAAAGTTCCGCAACAAGATTTCGTATTCTTAAAGTGTGCACCAAAAGTTACAAAGTTCGCAACACAAATTAAGAAAAAAGCGCCACTTTAGTACCTCTCAACCCTCACGAAACAAATATTAGCAACTTTGTCGTTTCAGGTTTCAGTAATGAGCTAAAACCGTTTCCATTGCTAGAATTGCCGTCATTATACTGATTGTTGTGTATAGCTCATTGTTCAAAGCCACATATCAGGCTTCTGATTAGATGTCATCAATCATGGGAAATGTTGCAAGTGTGCGTTTTCCTTTGCTCGTCCCATTAAAAAATGGAAATGAGCTAAAAGTTGAGTAATTGCTAAATAATGCGATTTAAATGCGCCACGTCTCGCTGAAAATGAAACGTCTTTTTTGGGCTGAAATATATAGCATTCGTTTATCGTTGGCAGTGATCAAAAGTGAGAATAGAAGCACATGTTTCTTACCGCCTTTATTACTGTGTCTCCGTGAACAAAATATATCGCCAACATAGCACAGCTTCAAGACACAAAGCTATAACGCAATAAAATGATGTCAAAAATAAAAACAATAAATTGAACATCTAAAACAGCCGAAATGATGAAAGTAGGTAATAAGAAAAGCTATTACAGGTAGTTCGATATTGGTTGGAGCAGCTTTGATGTATTTTAGATTAATTTTAAAATACTTTATCTATAGAGGAAAATTGTAAAATGTAATAGTGAAAAGATTGCCTGAAATTTTAATTTTATTTTTGGTTAGGGTAATAAAAGCTTTCAACTTTCTGTAACTTACGAGATGACCTAAATCTCTTCTTATCTCGAAGGAATATGAATACTTTAGAAATAAGGTTGCGGCCTTCTTTAGGTTTAAAACCTGATAAAGCAAGAAATGTGATAATCCAAAACCTCACTTCTCAATAACAATGCTTAACATTTTTTGGGTGAAAACTGTAAAGCCACAAGCTTTTATAACTATCTGAACAAAGCTTTGTAATAATGTTAATCTAAAGTTAGAGAATTATATTAAATTAAGGTCATTTATACCATCATTTTGTACTGTAAACACAATATAAACACATCTCATTATTCAAACGAGTATAAATTATACCAAAGTTTCTATGTACCAAGTTTCTAAAGTTGGATTACCACGAAGAGAAACGTTAAAATACTATAGCAACTCTTAATTAACGAGATTTAACAATTGTTAAACAAATAAAAAATAAAAAGTTTTGTGCCTTTTCTATTGAACTTTACGAATCCTGAACCACTCTGGCCTTCATATCTCACTTCCGCAAAGTGTGGGCGGAAATGTTCGCTTCCTCTTTTCCATTTTTTGTTTATTACAATTCTTCTGTCTAAACATTTCCTGACCGTTCAAAATTAGAACCTAATCTGTCCGATTTTTGTATTCCGCCCGCGTGTCTCCCACGCATGGATTCGATTCAATTCCACCTCCGGCGAGTCCGGACTTTTTCGAGTCCGTGACTGCGGCATTGAGCTTCTTATCAGTTTTCCCGGAGCAACGTTTTCGAAACACATTCGAGTAAATTCAGGAGCGGGAATTGTCGCCTTCGAGTCGTCGGGAGTGTATATCGAAATATGCGAGCTATTTAGATGTGCGAAGCGAGAAAGCTTGTGACCTAAATACGACACAAAAGCGTCTGTGCTTTGTTAATGCATAAAGATATGCCTCCGCGTACCCAATGAAATAAACACGTCACTATCACCGAAATTGAGAACTAGTCGACAATGGGGTGCTGTTCATTTTGGCAAAGTTGGACCGTTTTGTGTCCTGGATTAATTGTTCACAGCAGGATAAAGCAAATCGAGTTTGGTTTTTTCATCGATTGGGAATTGATTCTATTGTGCACAAACATGTTTACCGGAAAATGGGAGGAAGAAATAAAAATATTCAGCGAGATAGGTGCATTTGGACTGGTCAAGAGTGCTTCTGAATAAAGTTGGAATAAAATAAAATTCAAAATTCAAAATCTATTTATTCCTAGTTTTATAACGAATTTCAATTTTTGCTCAATTTTTTGTTTGAAAATGTTCTAAACTAACACGTCTGTGAATTTTGTAGAAAAATCCTACAAATAAAACGTTCCTGTATTTAATTCCACCTTGAACTAGCGCTTTGGCACGTGTCACTGTATTTTATTGCAGTTCTAATTATTGTGATAAGAGTTATCATCAAGGGTCCTGGCAGGTATGTATGAGTCATCCTTGTAAATATTGGAGCTAGCTGTTTAAACAACAAATCGAATTTGGGTAATCATATTGTAAGAGGGGAGTCTGAAATGTTGCCTTTGGGGCTAGCAGGTGGTTGTTCTCATAAAAGGGGAGACACAGACGGCAATTCCCTTACATGAGTAAACTGAAACTTATGCGAGGGGCGGTCATGCCGCCATTACACCTGAAAGGTGCTACTAAATCCTTTTCCATATAAATTCTTAATCGCTCAATAAACAATACTGCCGCAAAGCCCAATGGATTCTTGCCTACCTTCTAAATACTTAATACCGCAAAGATATAAACCGTGCGCACCGGGTGGAGATTAAAGTCATCAATCTGGGGATACGAGAAGAAAGTTGAGACCTGGTTGTTGCATACCAGTTCGACTTTGTGTAATCCTACGAAAGGATTCTTTGGAAGTTAGTGAGGCGAGTATAATAAATTATACTCATCACGAAAATCCTCATAATAAAACATACGGTAAGCTCAAAGATGAGGGCTGTTTACGGGTTGGCACAATGGTAATCTTTGTGGGTTTCAAATGTACTGGGAATTAACCTCACGACCCTCATGTACGTGCACCTTCAACAGAAAAAGTGCCTCAGTGGAGCTTTTTGTTATGCAAAATGATTAAAAAGAAAACACTCCTTTTGCCGTCGTTCACACTCCTAGTGTAATTTTTTTATTTGCGTTTTTGTTCCGTCCCCAGGAGCAACAGTATGGCTTAGGTCACAACTGGTTTTCCAAAATACAAGCTCCCGTAATTAAGACGTCGGAAATATTAAAATTTCTTTTCATTACTTTTGTGGACACAGCTTTGTACTTTATTTAGTTATGTTGCATTCTATCTTCGAACTCGACAGACAAATGGAATAAATCTTCGTTTGAGGGTCAACAGACCACGATACGAGGGTATATTAACAGCCCTCACGCAAGGAATAATCTGGGGTGTCCTATCTCATAGTGGCAGCCATGCTTTAGCACTTTGGTAATCATATGTGTAGGACCAATTTCGCTTCTTTATACATTCGCCAAATCAGAAACATACAAATTTTCTGCCACTATTGACCAAAATATTACTTTTACAAAAGGGTATGTATAATAAATCAAAACAACCAAGTTTTTACTTTCCTTTACATGAAAAATGATTTAGTTAATAATAAATAAATAATAAATTTAAATCTATTGACAAAAAATAACCATTCCTCTAAAGTCTTTTAGATAGGAACTAGTAACACAGTTATAAAAGCTAAAAATCAGGTAAATGACGTTGAGAGTGGCTTAAACTTCACAATACTCAAGCACACATTAAATATTTAAGCCTTTTACCCGACCTTTTGAAACATTTTGGCATAATCTAATTCAGATGTAAAGTAACACTTCATAGGCAACATATTTGGTCAGTTGTTTACAGTTTGGTGACAGAATTATAATCGAATTAGTAACTCCACTTAATTACTAACATAATTTATTCAATATTAACTTTGGCTTGACATAAGTTAGTGCAGTATCGACTTTTGATTAAAGTGTAAATCATTTTATAGGTAAATACAAAATGTTCACTAGTCCATAATTAGTTAGTCGATAGTTTCTGAACGATACTTTTCGCCTGCATGAAATTGTGGGTAAATAATAAATCACAACTGTTTTCAATCGCTGACAGCTTTTCATTACTGGTTTTGATAAAGGGTGCGTATATTACTCACTGTGATTCCAATTTACTACAAATTAACAAAACTATTGTGCATCATTATTTTGCAAATAACCAATAATTTATTAATTCTAGTAAAATTACAGCGAATGAATTAATAAGCACATAAATCGTGTTAATAGAAAAATTAAAATTTTTGTTAACTAGTTATCACAAATACTTGGATAAAAAGCCAATAAAAGAAACCATTAAATCCCCCAACTGCCGTCAAACATGCCCTCAGAATCGATTTTCTTATTAGGGGACGACGAAGAACTTGTTAGTATTCGTACCGTTTCAAAGTTTACGATCCTGAAATTTGAACAACAAAATACCATATATCGCGATAGGATAATGTGTCTCGTTTCTGAAACTTATATCAGGTGATGATCCTCAGTTTACGCGTCAATCCCCCAAAAAAGCGCAGATCACCGAATATGGAAATCATCCACGTCTCAAAAGCCGCATAAAAACCATCCGAAATAAATCGAGAAAAAGCAAACTTCCAATTACTGAATGGAAAATCGTCCAGTCAATTTCGGTAATATAAAATCCAGGTGCTGACGCAATTTCAAAGTTTCAAAGTATCCTCGGGGATAATGTCGTTGTCAGAGGGTTTGTTAAAAAAACCAGCACGTAGTTTTACCTTGAGGGTTGTTTCTTTTACTCATGTGATGTTTTAGAATAGAAAGCAGCACTCAAAAGTCGTCAACGAATCTCACAAAATGAAATTAAAATATTTTGAAACAGTTTGCGGAGCTTAATTAAGCTAAGTATTGCTTGTGGAATTTTATCTTTAAAACCCGGGATGCTTTCAATACGAAAAATGCCGTCTGCAATTCAAAGAGTGAAGTGGATGTTGCCGCGTACGAACAATTTACTTGAGCTTTACTCCGTTAAAACTATTTTTATTTAGCACAATTTGTAAATCAAAAAAATAATATATTTTCAACCGAAACTTTTAGAAACGTTTTAAATAAGCAATTTTTTGACTCAGATAATTAAAAAAGTGAACTTGCAGTAAGATTTCACTACATAAATTTTGAAGCAAAACAACTTGAATCCCGCTTTCCATCCATTTTCATTCGTTTTTGGAGTTTATTTGTGATTTTTAGGGTTATTTTCCACCAGTACGTAACATGTAACATGTGCACAAAAGAGCGAATATTCAAAGGTGTGAAAAATGGAGGCTTTAGCAAAATTTTACTTCAAATTTCGGGGTTTCCATTTATACACTTTTAGGATACGTCAAAGAAATAATTGTAAAACATGTGATACGACAGATACGTTTTGGAAAAAAACACCTTTAGAAGTCTCAATACTTTAAAAATACAAAAATAAACTAAAAAATTAAATTCCCCTTGACTAAAATCGCACACCCACAACGGTTAGATCCGAATTTGTATTTATATTTTTAAGGTTATTTTATAATAATTAAGGATTATTATTTTTACGTATAAATAAAAAAAAAACAAAAAAAATATTGGTCAGGAATAAAAGCTTATCGTGCTTCAGCAAATACGCTTGTTTAAATAAAATCTGATTAAACAGATTTATCGAAAGCTTTTGTTTTACAACGTAAAAAAAGCTGTCAATAAATCAAGAAACTGCTTTTCAGTCACTGACAGCTTTTCATGACCACCACACATAGAAAAAAAGAAATTTGTTGGTTTTATTTATTTCAATCCCCCCAAAAAATCACCTTTTTTCTATATGAAGAATACTTTCATCCCTCTGAACTCATTATTAAATCTCATTTCTCAACCCCTCTTTTTGGATTGAGAATTATCTTTTTTCAGAACTTTGCCGAGTCGAGTTTCAGAAAAAAAGAACGTCCTGATAACGAATTTATAGTGTCACAAAATATCCGACTTCAGTAATAATAAAACCAAAAGCGTTATCAGAGACCTATTCAAAATTATTAACACCTTTTTATGATTGTAGATACCAAAATCGTAGTTATATCAATAAGAATCAATCATAGTTAGATATTAAAATAGCATCACTTTTTCTAAAGACTTATAAATCGTCTTGGCTTGAAGGTAGAAGCTTTTTAAAGGCGTCAAAAGAATAATGATTCCGTGCCAAAGCAGATTTGTATTCTGAGTAAATCGATATCACTACTTGGCATTGTACTGTTTGGATTATAAGCTTTATTTATCCGCAAAGAAGCCATGAATGTATAATTGTAAAGATTATAGCTTGGATAAGCTTTATGGAGCGTTCCACTACATATTTTTAGCCGTTTCGCCAAGCTAATTATGAAAATTTTAATTAAATAATATAAGTTAATGTAGTAGACATTATGAGGAGGGTCTGCACTAATAGATTGTTCGAAACAAACTCCACATTCATTATGCAAGAAAGTTCTAGCTTTAATAGGAATTACTCCGATAATTTCGACCGTTAAGTTCCGTTACTTTTTCTTAATTGTGCAAGGAAGGGCAATTCTAGATTCAACATGTAATTTATTTCTCCTAGTTGCAAACATTTCTCTTCTGAAACTTAGTTATCGATCCTCGTAGTCTGTTTTATTACACTGGGGTTAAAAAACAGCCACTAGGTGTAAATAATTTTTATATTACGGTGCAAAATCTCTATTTCGTGACGATTGGCAGTATTAAAAACTGTTATTAAAGATCGTATTTTAGCAGGCAATCGATAATGGCAAGATTGAAACACGAAACAGCTTTGAAACCCTCTACTATTAATTAATATGTAGTTTGAGCGTTGAGTTTGGGATCTTTACGCTCATCTGCTGAACTTCCAGCGAGTGTGTAATGGAATTTTAGGTAAATTGCTCCAACACTATCAAACTCTAGCTTAATTAGCCCACTTTTCGAAGAAGCAAGCTGTTGGTGAAATAATTGAAACAATAAATTGACGTTACGTCATTCAATAAAAATGCCAGTTCAAATTCAAGTATAAGTGCACAGTTTTTGGATAGATTAGGAAAATGAGCAGCCTCCGAAGCGCGAGTAGCCACACTTATTATTCCAACACGCGAGTAAGAAACGGAATGTGTTGAATTTTAATTAAATTGCGATTTCCAGTCTCATCACAGCAATGATCAGGAACATCAGTCCGTTCCACCCCTTCAAGTTATTCTCGAGGAAAAGAATCGTGTTATTGACAAGCTCAAAAAACAAGTCCACAATCAAAGAATCCAGCTCGAGTTTTACATCAAGAAGGAAATGAACAGTCCACTTATGGTAGAATTTGCCAAAACGGTAAGCTGACTTAGAGCTCGTACAAATCCCTAAAACCATGTTTTAGTGCTTACCTGAACTCACCGACGATAATATGACCGTAGCTTTAGCTATGAACAAATTTTACAGAGAATTAGGAATGAAAAGCCGGATAATGGAGCTTTATGACCGCGTCTGTAACATTGCTGGCCGAACCAATTGTATTATTCAGACTCAGGAAGTTATTCTCAGTGAAATCATCTCAAACATGAAGCAATACATGAGTCCTGCTGAAATAAAAAAATTCTTGGGGAACTTTGACATCAACACAAACTATATCGAAATATTTAACAGTCTACTGGACACGACGATAAGTTTAAAGAGTTCAATGAACAGTTTTAGAAAATGCTGTGATCGCTTGATCAACGCCGAAGAGAAACGAAACGAAATTGGTTAGATGATGCCACCAAACAATCACTTCTTTATTATTTTAATTGCAGTGGAGCAGGTTTATTCTCTACCCCAAGATGAACGCACTATCTGCAACTACTTGGTCAACGTACAGATGGAAAAATGCGAATTGGAAAACTTAGTTAAGCAACTCTCCAAAAAACGGAAAATACTAGACCCCACCGTCGATGAAATCGACATAATCGAAAACAATCTCAAGCTCCTTCATGACAATTTCGACAATTTACAAGAGCAAGACGAAACTGGTAAGTCAACCTTTCATAAATTTTCCTTTTTGACCAAAAAATCCAGATTATTGTGTCACAAAAATGTTGGAGAAGGTTTACTCTCAAGCCATGTCCCTTTTGTCACTCTCCCGTGAGCAGCGCGAGAAATACAACAAAGAAGTGGATCAACTCAAGGAGGAAAATGAAAAACTGCGGGAAATTATCCAACACATTGACAACAGAAGCTCAAGTGGAAAATGCGTAACAGCCGATTTGAACGACATCGAAAAGCTACACAACGTCATCAAGAAAACTATAAGTGAGGCTCGCAAGTTCGAAAAGACGAAAACGGAAGAGCTGAAACAAAAGTCGCTAGAGTGCGAGAATTTGAAAAAGAAATTGAGCGAAGTGGTGTTGCAGAAGAGGCAGCTGCAGACTCTTCTGGATTCGGAGAGCACAGAAGAGAATGAGGTGGTTTGTTATCGGTTTGAATAAAGAGATTTAAAAATTTAATTGTAGTTCATACTGGAGCATGAAAGTCCTAATAGCAGCCTTTCCTATAAAGCACAAGTGGAAAATCTCCAAACGATTTGTAGTGCGTACAGTGCGTAACGTGAAAAATTAGTGTTTGTTAAATAAAATCGTCACGAATCATCATTTATTTCAATTTTGTTAACACAGAACAATAAATGTCAAAGTAATTAAACATATAAGGTGCTCGTTTTAGGGTCGGTAGCACTAAGGAGTCCTGAATTTGATTTAGCCTGCGGCGGGTTAAAAGTGTGCATTCGAATATCCGAAAAAGGCCCAGTCTTAATACGATTTTCAGAAAATGAAAAAATTGAAAAATCTGGAAAGAATGAATTAATTGTCCTTTTATAACGTGAGTACCACTGAATTACCATATTGGGTACATTGATCTTGCTTATTTAGTTTCGGTCTACAGACGATTCTTCTTATTACACAAAGATTTCCCAAAATAATTCCACACCAAAAAGCCCCAACAATCCAAAAAATACATGTGCTAAGACCAGACTGCGGTGGCAGTGTCATAGCTAAAATTTGCGGTGTAATTTTGGACTCGCAAAATTTGTGTGCAAGTTGGTTATCAAGGAAAGCGCTCCACTTTTCAGTAGTGCAATCCCAAGGATTGTTTGTGGCTATCAGCGTAAAATTCTTATCATTTTTCACCTTATTTACCACATTGACTGGCAAATACCTTATCTGATTGTTTGAAATATCAAAAATTGCCAACTCCGGCAAATACTCGATATCAAAGTCGTTAATATCAGTTAACATGTTGTGAGATACATCAAATTTCCTTAATTTGCTTCCAGGTCTGAATATTTTCTCGCTCAATTTCGAGATGAAATTTTTCGACATATTGACTTTGGTGAGTCGAGGTAAATCGTAAAAAGCTCCATCGGCGATCGAATTCAGTCGAGAGTTTATTATATTCAACTCTTCAAGTTTCTGATACTTGTTAAAAGTTTCTCTCTTTATCATCAACAAGTCGCTATTGGCTAGATTCAGCCTGGTAATATTTTCATAAGTTAGACAAGTAATCGCGAGACTGCTGGAAAAACGTTTTCCATCGAATTTACGATGAAAGAAAATCAATTATCGCTCACCAATCCACGAAGAGTATGGTAATGAAGTATTGAAAATATGGCATCGTGTGACAGGATCTCTTCGTTTGACAAAGCACCCTCAATATCAAACGTCACGTGCGATTTAAGCCAAGCTGATTTTTTGTGGTTTTCCCAAAATCTTGTTTCAACTCGGAAAATTTACTAAGTGAAATGGACACCTTTTATGAATTCGCGCTCAGGGAGGGCTTTTTGTCGAATGGGTAAAACCGACACCTTAACAAAGAATTTTGTCGAAAGTTTTGCTCGTGTCAACACCGATTATACCAAAAGTTCTAAATTGAAAACTGGCCTTTCAGTCGAATCGCTCTGATACGCATTTAATTGAAATTGGAGAGAGCCAAACAACATAAGTTGTAAGCCTAAAAAAGTGATTTACGATTTTAAAAAATGTGCTACACCATTCCGGTGCAAAAGAGAAAACAGTTTCAAAGCTAGACAAGTGAATGAAAATTAAAATTTGATCAAGCCGGAGCAACAATCCTATTTGGTTACAAAGAAAATATCAAAAACAAACATTTTCTGCTCTAAAATGACAAGCATCATTTGAAGAAAGCGCGCCTAAATTTCCCTATTGATTATTTAGATCCTATGATAAGATGTAATTCCTCCCTAATTTTCCCGTTTCTCTCGTTTTCAAGGATTCTCTGATGGAGATGAGCAACTTCCTTAGGGTAGATCTGGAAGGTTACTCCCTAAAAGCTGTTTAATTGTTGAGGCTTGGTGTCTATTGTCTGTTTTTCTGTTTCAAATCTTATCCACTTATAAACGTGTAATCTCGCTACAAACTCTGACTTTAGTAACTTAATTTGAAACCATAATCTAATTATGTTATTTAATTGATTTGAGTCACAAATTAAACAACAGAAGTGTGATTAATCATTTAAAATTTACACCAATCACAAACCGTGTTAATTTAACATCATCATTCGTAATTACTCGTAATGATATTATCTTAGAACTAGTTTAGAATTCAATCATAACCAACATTTAGCGTCAATAACTATTAAATTTAATACATTCAGAAATTGGTTATTAAGATTTATGGATGCTGTAGACAGCCTATTGTTAAGTTTCTTTTATGTTTTCTCAAGACATGTCGTTAAAGCCGCTTCTTAATTAAAATTCTATTCCGACAAAGAAAACACAAACCTAAGTTTTTCCTGAAGAAAATTTAGAGCATTGTTCCTATAATATTATCGTCTTCGAATCGTTTGAGGATGATTACGAGAGCAAGTGGAAAGATCCCCAAACGCGATATTTCAAGAATTCACCCGTTTAGTGGCCCATTTCAATCCCTTTGTCGTTTGAAATTGAAAACAGACGATACAGAACAAAATCTCTTAATATCATTGGCCTAAATCTTTTAAAAAACTAGCAAAATCATAAAGATTTTTAAATTACTCTTTGCGTTGTCTTTCAATCAACCGCAAATTTACGCGATCGTTTGCTAATTGCTCTATTTTCTTAATCTTGATGACATTCCCTAATAAGCGCCTATTTGTACGTCGACTTCAAGTGTCGTAAATTAATTTAGTCGATGAAGATAAGGCCACACATTAAAATAATAGCCATGCGCAGGTTCTCCTGCAATAAAAGTTAATTACCGCTTTCATCAGTTCTTTCCGACATGCGGAGGGTGTCTAGTAATTAAAACAAGTCTCGAATTCTAGATTGAATGTTTATTCTTCGATTTAAAACACACAAAAACGTATTCACTGCATCACAGATGAAAAATCGTCCATTAACACAACCTGTGATGAGTAATGTCACCAATCACGGAATAATAAATGTATACGACGGCGAATTCAGAGTGAAGCGATTAATTATTTTTATTAACTCAGTCAGAAAGGTTAAATAGGGTGGGTAATGAGTCAAATTGCGTTATTTATAACATTGCTAGCGCGCCGCGTTCCTACTCATTTATTTTCGCCAAAATGTCATTCTCCCTGTAGAGGTAATACTCTTGCTTCTCGTCATATTGAACCTTCGTTCCTCCATAATCCGGAAGTAAAACAACATCACCGACTTTAAGACAGCAAGGCACACACTTGCCTTGGGTATTGATGATACCCGGACCCACGGCGACGACTTTACCTTTCGAAACTTTCTTCCTCCATCCTTCCGGAATCACAACACCGCCTTTGGTCTTGGCCGCGGGGTTGACTTTTTTAATTAAAATGCGGTTTAAAAGAGGCACTACGTGTTTTGACATTTTATTATAGGAATTGGAATAAAGTAAAATGTCAAAGAGCCCAGACATGTTGATATAGTAATTACTTATCGATCGAATTCTTTCAGCGGTTTATTGGTATTTATGGGAGGGTGGAGATTAAAGACTTGAATTGTGAAAGCACGAAAGCTTTTGTATTGACTGGAACTTTGTACTCATATTTTACTATACTTTTCTTCCATCTATTCTATTATTTTCACGAAATAATGTTAGAGACTGAGAAATATTGAGAAAGTAAACTACGAGGTTTATTGGGATAAGTTTTGCAATATTTAAAACAATAAATTTTGAATCTACCAAGAAGTTTAATCCCTAAGTAATTATTAAACTCGCAGACCAAAGGATTAACTAGAAGTTATTTAATGGATAGATTACCTACTTCCTCCCTTACCCTAGGCATAAATAGGAATCTTGCTTAATATAAATTTTTATTAATTATGAACTGGGATATAAATAGAGACTGCCTTTACGGTTATCTAATTGTTATTTTACATTTAAAATATGAAAATAAAGACAACAAAACGAATTCCACCTTGCTTTTCGTGTAAATACAGAAAAAAAAATAAAAATTAGAAGACAAATAAAAATAATGTCAGTGTAATTGGTTTCGAAACTCAGGATTCATTACATTTTAGTTTGTTTTTATGAAAAAAAAATAGTATATTATAATACTAGTTTATAAGCAAGACTTTAAAACACGCACGACGGGTTTAAGAGCACGACGCGTCAGCGGTCCAGACATTTCACTATTTCTTGTTACCTAGACAACTTTAAAATTTCAGCGTGCTATAAAGGCCAAATTACGCACGCTCCAGCGTGTTTTAATTTAGGATTATGATGCAGGTATAATAAAAAAATAATAAACTGTCAGTGTAATTGGTTTAGAAACTCAAGATTCATTACATTTTAGTTTGTTTTTATGAAAAAAAATTACATTAAATTTTAAAATTTGACATTTTTTATGTCTATTGTTACCGATGATGTTTTATATATTTTTTCACAATTATTTAGTAAGGATGCAAAAACTTTGAAAATAAAAGCCACAAATAACCTTATATGTAGCTTCTTTGTTTCCTCTTCTAATAGCCTGCTGCAAATATATGTAAAATTGTTTTTCCAACAGAAATAAATAGGGTCAAAGTCAAAATTCGTATAGATAGAATTTTGTAAACATTTTTTCCATGTTTTTGGTATCTTATCTTGTTTAGCATTTTTCTCTAACCGAAGAAAGTATATTTTAAATAACTTTTATAATATAAAAATTTAAATTTTTCTAGCAACTGTTTGAAGAAAATCACAATAAAATTAGAAATTTTCAATTTTAGGAAGCTTTCCGGGTTAACATCTTGTTTCTCCAAGTTGAAAAACAATTCGATAAAAAACGAGCACTTATGGTATTGCTTTTAATATTTAATCAAAACGTGCCAAGTCATATATTAAATGAAAAACTCGAGTTTGGATTTACCTAATTGATATTTGTGTATCGTTCGTGTAAAATAGAGTCCTGGCTAAGCCGTGCATTTAAAGCAGTGGTAAATAGCTGGCGAACTCCTGAATCCAGGATATTGCCCAAATTTAATTTATCTGATACTGTCCTGTAACCTGTCATGTGCATCCAGCTGGAAGTGTTATTTCAACTTTTCAGCGTTGGCAATTTCGTGTATACCTATCAGAAAGGTTCTTTTATGGCGTATAAATAGGAAGTCAATTTTTGGATTTCCTGTTATCGGAGATTTATCCAGGACCCTAAGACGAATTCCTGGAATAGCACCAAACCTTCAATTAGTTCGCAGTCCAGGGGACAGAAACCAGATATCCCAGGAAAAAAGTAACCCGTTTTGTATATTGCCGGCTTCTGAGACAATTAGTACCGAATAAAATGAACATGTCAGCTAAAATTCGTGATTTGTATGCCGAAGCGCGACTTTGCCCTGCTAGTGCCATTCTATGCTTTTTCTTATTGCGTGCGTGCGGATTTGACGCATAAATAATACAAGAACGTAGGTAAAAGAGAGAATTAATGTCAGTCACACACATACAGGAAATGGACCATTTATGAATATATACTTGCTTATTTAAATGTTGGATGTGTTCGCACAATGCCTTTATAGTAATGAAAGCGGTTTAAGCAATTATTGCACAACGGGTAATTGTTATGTTGCGAAAAAGGCACCTTGTGGGTACTTACGGTGAATTTGTTACTTTGTCGACGGAAATTACCCCACTTCAAACCTTATACGATAATGCTACTTGCCACTTTTTTGCATAATCGTGCTAATGGTAAACGAAAAGCGGCCCGCCTTAAATTGTTTGTCACAGGTCATTAGTCAATGTTGACTTTTCATGACGTTATCAAGGCTCTCCCTAACACGGGTTTCCGGAAAACCAACAAAGTGACAAAATTAAGCAAAATTTTCACTCGGAGACACTCCTTTAAAAATTATTAGCCAAAATTCGTTACTTATTTTTTTAATCCAATTTTGGGCATTCTTTTTGTTTTTAAAGCAGCTCCAAATAATGAAATTCACTCATAAATTGGTGTAGAGTAATACGTATTTTATTCATTTTGTTGGAAATTTATTATGCTAAGGAAGCAATTTGCACAACCATCAATTCTTAATTAAGAAACAAAATTTATTTCTGTGCAATTATTTACTTCTTGACGTTTAAATTGGATCTCAAATAATGGATTTATTCCTCATTTCATAATAAATTTTGAACTGTCAGTTGTAAAGTAATACAAAAGATTTAAGAACATTATTTTTTGAAATAAAAAATGTCGGATTCGTTGGTCTCCAACATTTTCTACTTCTCCTGGAAGGAGATCTTCTTATTCACAGTGGGAATTAGCGCAAAATTAATATTAATACGTTTCTCGTTTTATAATTTTACTGAAATCAATTTACATTTTAGAAAGACAGTAAGCGAAGAAAATTGCTGAAGGCACAAAGCTAAAAAGCTCTACCCTTCCACTTTAATTTAATACTAGAACTTTACATTTTATTTGTTTTCGGTAACGAGGATTGCTTAACGGGTTGGTTCGATAAAAATTTTAATTACGTGAGTGTTTTCTATTAATTAAAGTGACACGAAAAACTAAGTGACAAAGTATGTAACATTTCATTATTGCTGTTTATTTAACAAATTTAATCTACTCTTTGATGTGACAAATTTTAAGAAATACAAGTTTGTTGTTTTAACAAACGAGGCATTAAATAAATTGAATTGCAACCTCTGGTGATAAGAAAATCCTAGTCAAACCCAATTAATTCTCGTTTTTTGTTACAGTCAACTCTAAACTTGTTCTCGTTAACTTCATTTCTCTGGGGCTTCTTCTGAAGTTAGATCGCTTGACCATTCCCTTTATCCTAACCTTATCCTTGCCCTTTGAACAAGCTTATGTGCATATTACAAACAAGTTAAAGCTTTGCGGACAGTCCCTTTCCCATGTTTACTTCAGTATTCTCTGTTTGCTTTCTGAAACAACTTTTTTACGTAGTTTCGTGCACTAAAAAACAAAAAGTAAGAATAACAATGCAAATTTCAGTATTGGTGCTTCGTTGAATACGGTTCCCTGTTATTTGCCCGGTAAATGCGTCATTAATTTTGCAGATAACTGTACTTTGCAGCAGGAAATAAGAACAAAACGAGTGTTTTCATTTCGATTTCGCAACTCCCTTTTATTTGTTATTTTTACTCCCTTATTTTGAGAGTCGCATTTCGCACTGTATGATTTATGTGGGGGTTTACTCGCGTATCTTTATTCATAACTGTCATATTCTTGTCCTTTATTTTCATTTCACTTGTATACGTCCAAATTTATATTCATAAACCAACTGCTACTTTTTCATTCAATTCGCGAGGAATTTATAAGGTAAAAGGAAATTCGATACGAAAATGTTCGCCACAATAAATTTCAAGCACTTTAATTAATTAAAACCAAAATTTGATTAAAAAGTGGGCAATTATTGTTATTTCATTGCAAAACAAGCAACGTCTGGACTAGATAATTTGTTTCTCAAGAAATTACTTGATTAAAATTTAAATTACGTACACAGAGCGTCCCTGAAGTAACCATCCAGATATAACTTTATCGACGAGGGTCGAAAGGAATTAGAGTATGCAGAGAAATCATAAAAATATTGATTGAAAGGCGAAATTCACTAGGGATTTTCAAGTTTCTCATTTCGGTGGTAATGCTGAGCAAATAGTTATGTCATTTAATTTCTAGTTTCTTTGTCACGTTACTTTATTACCACGTTTCAATAAGTATGGAGAATGTTCTCCAATGTCTTTGCAATGAGAATACTTTTGTGGTAATGTAATATTCGAGTTTCTGTTAAGAGAATGAAATTTCATTCGAAGATTAGTTAGTAATTTAGATCAAATAACCAAACCTCTTGTACGACAAGAAGAACGCAAAATTCAAGATCAAACGAATAAAATCTAATCACCATATTCATAAATCTAAAAGTATGTAACGTATACGTGAGTGCACTGTCTTATATAGCAACATCCAATATGATGCTTCACTTTGAGACTCATATAATATAGAATAAAGTAAAATATTGGAAAATACTTTCTACAACATCTAAAATTGCGAATAGCCCGATCAAAGTTTAACTCCAAAATGTTCTCCCTGAAAACTAAAATTGTGCTTTTCCATTATTTCTTTGCCCCCAACGGCATTCCTGCGTTTCGGGGAATAATTACAAAGTTATAAACTCATCCAAGTCCCCGAGGACAAACAGTTTTTCACTCAGATTAAATGAGGAGTGATTATTTTTAAGTGACAAGCTTACAATCGGTGACAGTATGTACTAGGTATGCCGTGATTTAATCCACTCTTCGGCCTAAAGCTAACTATTTTCAGACATGAATCAGATTATGAAAATCATATCAAACTAAGAATGGGCTTAATGCTTATTTGCTTTTTGTATGTTTAGAATTGAGGTAGGTATACTTTATGTTATTGATCCGGGTCATTGTTTAGGTCGGGGCTAACACGAATATGGAGTTGATCAATCATAACACAGTAAAAATAATAAAAATATCGTCAAATAAACGTTATTTAAATTTTTGTTATGGTGATACTTTTGTTATACATAATGTGTAATATGAAATCTTTTGTTAGACAAACGTTCAAGGTAAAAATCCTTCCTGGTAACTCAATTATTTTATACCCCATTGCATATGTGTTATTTTTATGTCGAGGAAATTTTCTTGTATTTGGTGTTAGAAATCTAGTTGCAGTATTGGGGAGACAACAATTCGTGATTGTAGTTTTATATTCTTTGCACTTCGAACACTACGTGAATTTCTAAACAAGATTAAAAATCGCAAAACTATGAAAACAACTGGAAAAGTAGTATAAATCTTCCAAAACAAGCAGAAAAAGTAACTTTTTAATGAAGGGGTAAAATGACATTCTATACAGAGAGTACATACGTTTTTCACATTTCACTTTCAACTCAAGCACTTAGGCATGGCTCATTATTTTTTTATTTTAAAAATGAACATAAATTATTCAAAAAAAAATGTGCGTTTCAAATGCATTACTCCGTCTAATACATCAAATTTCCAAACAACCTGCTTCCATACGTTTAAATTTTATTAATTTTAAATGAGCTTAAATAATAAATTAGTTTGGAATAAAGAGGAATTTATAAATTTATTAGCTTATTGTACAGTAAACAATGGTGTCCAATAGTCATTTTATTGAAGTCTTCCCCTTTTGCTGTCTTCTTCCCTTTTAAAAATAACGTGCAAAATATTTCCGCATTATGTGGCAGCAAAAACATCAATTTATTTTTTCCAAATCCTTTCATTTTGTGGTCGTGCCCTTTGGCTTTTTGCTGAAACGTTAGCGAGGCCATTAAGTTCCTCCCGTATTAAATGTGCTACATTCTCTTCCTTGTAAAGTGATTTAGAGCTTTGAACAAAGCAAAAGAGTAAAACCAGAAGGAGAAAAAACAATAAAACTTTGATAAGAAGGTGCCTGACGAGATTAATTGAGTGAGTTCAATTGTGCTTTTATCACACCCACCACCGGCCGCAATTTCGCTTTTGTTATGACTCATTAAGAATGGCATCCGCCGGTCATTCTTTCCAAAAGTGGAGCAAATCTCATTTCGATGCAATTATACGACTTGAGAAATGGGTATGAGGTCGTGGGAATGTATGATTGTCCTGAGGGAGTTGGTTCCGGAGAATGGGATTTATGGAAAAAATCCGGTGCAACTTACCTCTTCCTGTTGGCAATATTTAGGTCAGCATTGCTCCTGCAAGGAGACACACCCTCGTTTATTGACTATCAACGATTGCAAACTAATAACTAAAATGGCAGGACTGTTTGCACACTGACACCATATTACACCAAACATACGCTAGCACTCGTGCGAATCGCGCGAGCTTTTCGAAAATTCGCGACTGGTTTAGCCGAATGAAAATTCCGAAAAAAAATCAGTAAAAGTCGAACGGTTTCACTAAAACGATTTATTCGGGTTTCAATTCCTATCTAATAATTGAAAACGACAATTAAAGCCTACATCGGCCAGTTTATAATTAAATTTGATGGTCCTGCAATTTACGTTGTTAGAATCCGGGGACTCGAAACGGACTAAATTCATTCATTGACTACACTTTAGCGCAAGCGCTCTTTCTRTTCGTCGTGCCATCGCCGCACGTTTGACTCGAATAAAGATAGATGGAGGATCATTTTAGGGTGTGTGACTGAAAGGAAAGCTCCGAAACTGTTAACAGGAGAAGGACATGCAAGAACGACGCAGAGAACAAGGAAGTATGCTAGAACGCGCTCCCCCTCGAAACTACAACCAGGGGTGATGTAGTAGTTTTCATTATTGCTAGAAGTAGTGCTATTATTCCTTGCATACGTTTCACAACGAATATTTATTTAATGAAGAAGTCTACATTTGTCCTGAAAGCACCTGAAGTGGCGTCGCGACGCCATCTGGCGCTGAAATCCGGGCGAGTCCTTGCTACAGCTGACCTCATATAAACTGTTTCCTTCGATATTTCTATGATTTATGCCGTTAGTAACTTATTTTTGACTATTTCTGAGTAATCGATAGGTGAGGGAGTCTTACAAGAGGTTTAGAAATCACCGGATGCGCAACTACTTTCCGGACAAGCAGATGTCGAACATCAATTACTGGCTTCCTGTAATCAACTTTACGCACTTTTAAATAATCTTGATTGTGCAAAAAATACAGTTTCACCAATTCTCAGTGAAATTACTATCAACGCAAATTTGCAAATGGGGACGAATAAAACACACATGTTTTGCTAATTACTTGCTAATTTATGTTACAATGCAATTTTAAATAAAATAAATCACTTGATATTTTTCGTTCTGGTAAAAAAAAACATCCCCCCGCAAAAATAATTTTCATTTTACTACATACTCGTATTTACATTATTTAGCCGATGAAATACATATGAAAAAACTAGTGAATATTACAACATTTACTCATTATTGTAAGATTTTCTTTTGTTGCCTCGCAAAAAATCAAAACAAAAGAACACAAGTCTTGTTAAAAAATAATTTTCAGGCTTGGATCAGTATTTTGTGGTTTATTTGTTAAATTGATTTCCTCTTGRTCTGCGGTGAGTTACCGTAATTGAACATTATCGATGGATGTCTGTATTAGGTACAACAACAATTGTGTACCTACATACATTTATAAACATACAATGTGCCTAGATAATTGATTTTCATGTAGATAGTGTGGARACTGTGTACGCAATCTAGTCGAAACGTACATGGTTCAATATAAATTAGTCAAAAACATGTTGCATAGGTTAATCGATTTTCTGCATAGAACATTAAAATTTCTCGTAAAATACGACAATGTGTTACAGTTTGTTTAATCATGCGTAGAAATTACAATAAAGCTGGCAAACTAGATTTGCAACCTAATTAATATTGAAGTCTACACAAATCGTAGAGGTAGAGTGTAACAATAGTTATGGTTCTGTGACTAAGTATCCATCAGAGTAATTTTGTTAAAATAACATAAAACGCAAATAAACAGTTCAACTGAAATAATTATTGAGAAAAATTTAAATACATACAAAGTATTTAACAATGAATTGTTTTTTCGAACAGTACATCTACTATACAGACTTTTAATAGTTATATTTTGTGTTTTCATTGTTGAAGCAGCGAATCTTAATCGTCTTTACGACTTACAATTTTGTGTGAAAGCGTGGCATTGACATTTTTATTGCTCGTGAAACTTTATCCTGCTGCAACTTTATTTTGACAAACATTTTATACAAAAAGACTCTCAATCTGCTTTCCCTAAGTACACAAAAAAATTAAAACTTATTCATTCATTGTTTTTTAAATTCTTTAAAAAAGATTATGATTTGTCGTGTTTACAACGTATACCACGTTGATTCTGCAATACAGGTTGAGTCACAGAGTGTTCCGTTTTTATTGTTACAAATTTAAAAATGTGATAAAATATTTAATTATAAGCAAAAATTGCAATTACAATTACAAAATTTGGTACAACTGCTGACCTTTATACACTTAAACAAATACAAAGATCAAATTTTTTGTTCAGGAGGGGTTATAAGGTATAAAGAAATTAATTTTAAAACTTACTGCTGTTTATGGTATATAACATAAATTTTGAAATTTTTGATCAGGAGGGGTTATAAAGTAAAAAGTAATTAATTTGAAACCTTAATGTTGTTTATGGTATACCAGGTGAATAAAAAGTATGGAACTAAACGTTTTTTGCTTAAACTATTTATTTTTTGAAAAAACTAATTGATGAGTGATAAAGTACTATAAAAATGTGATGTTTTAACAAAAATAACATTTTTCGAAATTTTCTTTTGTTTTTGTGTTCTACAAACATTTTAATTTTTTTAAATGGCAACCCACTATAAAATCATTTTTCTCATAAAAGCTATATTCTAAGGATTACAAACTATTTTGACAAAAAAATTCGCAAAACTCAAAAACAAAACAAAATTTCGTTCTGAAAATACAATCACTTTTTTTATATTAGACTTTAATTTATATTAATTATTATTTTCTGGAGGCAAATGATTAAAAATAAAACCGCTTGGTTCCATACTTTATATTCACCCTGTAAAACATAAATTTTGAATRCATTTTACTCATAAACGGAAAGTTGTATTGAACCAACGCAAAAAACCAGAAATTTTTTAAAAAACTTATTTCTTGCGTATCTACAATGTTTTAACACTTTGCGGGGTCATTTGGAGCAATTTTAAAGTTTTAAATTTTTTTGATTCTTGGCAAAATTTTGATCGAATTTCTGCACTTTCATTTTTCTTTCTTACATAAAAGAAATATTGTCCTGCACTTAATAACAAATAATGATCAATTTCGCGTATTAATTTCAATGTGAAAAATTCAAGTTTTGATGATTGTAGAAAAATATTATTTTTGAAACTCGATCTAAGAACGTTTTATTTGTTGAATTTTTGAACTAAGATATGGGAAAACGGGGAAAACTCCATTCTTATGGTTGGCGTTACTGGTATTGACAGCTGAGAAGAGGTTAAGAAATCAAAACAAAGAACATTGTTCTGTAATTAATATAAAGATTTTTTATTTAGTATTAATTCGGTAAGTAATATAATCTATTCACATTGACTCGAGTAATATGCTAATTTTTTGAAGGTAGGGAAATTTGTCATAGTTCTCCCGTTCGATTAAGGTTATATTGGGGGTTCTTTTGTACAAAAATCAATCGCCTTACAATGGGTTTACTGCCTGACTCATGTCATCATCATAAACTTACATTTATTATTAAATTAGTTTGGTCTTCTGCGTCTACATAACGTTYCAGTGCCGTATTGTTCAATGTATTTGGGGCTGATTCATTAAGTCTATGTTGGTATTTGCAAAAGGGACCTCATGTGGTAAGTAATCCCCTCATTATTGGAGGTAAAATATTTTATTGTGCAATACAACTTTATTCGAATTGGAAAACTATACATCTCTTGGTCAGGAAGTATGRTTACATGTAAAGTTATTGAAGTTAAATAATTATATCTAAATCTGTTTTTTCAAGGGAAATCAAGTCAAAGTCTTGGTGAAAAAATTGGTAGCAGCTTATCTTCATAGCCACAAATTTTATTTGCTTCTTGAATTTTTTTTTGCTTCTTGAAATTTTGTTGTTGCCTGTATGCTCTTATAAAAGCGTCATAATCGAATACTTGAGGACAGACACCACTATAGTCAATGTGTAACGATAGAATTCATTGCAATATTGATAGAAACACACACAAGTAAGTATAAATTTTGTGGACAAAAATTAGCTTCTTGCTACAAAAATTTTGATAAAAAAGAAAAAAAATTGCAAAAGATAGAAGCAGGTATTATAGAGATTGCCAATACATTTGGCGTAATTTAATGAAATGAGCTCGAAATTGACTCATGTTCTAAACTCTTTCAGATTGTTTGAAAATTGTTACTTTTCCAACTCCTTAAAAACGGTGCAAATACTCAAACAGGCACTAATTTAATTGCGTTCTATCTCATTCAAGTGTATTTTGTATTCCCGTCAATTTCTTGCTAAAATTTAGAGAATGTTTAGAAAATTGCGCCCATATTTTAACGATGTTCTTTTTGAACTTCTGCTTGCACACTTTTCGCCTCCAAATTTCCAGAAACTCTTAGAGCTACCCAATTTGTCCCTATTTTTGTGTTTTCGTCTCTAAATTTTCTTTGCTAGTGGTGCCAATGCTAAGACTGTTTGACATTTTCATTAAAAAACAGACTTTAGCTGATTAATTTTCTATAATAATTTACGTGTTGCCATCCAAGGCTAGTAGATTATTATATAAGAAATTTGAAATGTAAAATGTATAAACACAAAATTATTATAGGAGAAAGGTAATAAAAATTATTGAACTTTTTTGTCTTCTTTTATCATTTTCAGATATGGAAGAGGATAGATATGGTGTCGACATAAAAATATTATCTGAATTTAGACAGTTGATGCTAAGAAGGAAAAGAAGTAAGATGGACTTGTGTGTAGAAGTGTTTGTCAACCTTGCCATCCAAGCAAAACTAAGGGCAAAGTTAATGCTTGTGTCTGCAGTAGGCGAACTAACGTTTATGAACAATGCAACAAACGAAACTTTAAAATTTTTACAAGTACATTGGGTTGTGCCCAGCAGCAAGAAACCGGGGTAAAACTTCAGTTCAATACCTTCATAGGCACCGTAAACCTAGAAATTTGTTTCGACGACCTTGAAACCACGGAGAGGTTCATGAGTTTACTACCCCCGATTGCTAGTCCAACACCCTGCTTGGATTGATTGGAAAAATGGTTTCAATTAAGAGGATTGCTTTTCTGCATCGAATCGTCGTTCGATGGAAACTATGGACTGTTACCAGCGAGGAAGACCATAATAAAAAGCATGAAGATGAGTGAAGTTTTTTTTGTACGTAAAAAATTAAGATTTTGATTGGAAGTAATTGGAAAATATGCATAAATAAATGAATTCATGTAGAGGAATTTTCATATTCTTTGATATAAGTTCAGACTGTAAACTCAATAAAAAAATTATAAACCTAGTTTATTATTATTATTATTATTATTATTATATACCCATACGTATGGTTGTTCAGAGTGTGTAGTTTGATTCATTTTTTCCTCTCTTTGAACTTTTGGAGACGAAAAATTCGCAAGCAAGAACTCAGAAAAAGAGCCCGTTAAAATGTATTCAATTTGTAATGCAGGTTTACTAAACATTTCTCAATTTATGAGAATACYAAATAAACATGAACGAGAAAGAACGCAATTAAATTAGTGCCTGTATGCATAGTTTAGAAGAACGAGTTGAAAAAGTAACAATTTTGAAACTAAAGCTGAAAAAGAATTTAGAAATAAAGATAAATTACACATAATTTATTGCCAATCTTCATAATACCTGCTTGTCTCTTTTGCAAAATAACTTTGTTCTGTAAAATTATTTTTCATTAAAGTTTTTGTAGCAAGAAGCTCATTTTTGTCCACAACATTATCACATACAATATACTTACTTGCGGTGTGTTTCTATRAAAATTATTAGCACTGAATTCTGTCTTTAAACCTTAGGAAATGATGTCTGTCCTCAGGTTCAGGTATTCGATTACAACGCTTTCAAAGACCAAATGGGCACATAAGATTCATAAATGTCAAAAGTTTTGACATCTCAACATGAAAACATCCATAATTTTTTAACAAAATTTCTAGGGACAAAAAAGAGCAAACAAAATTTATAGCTATGGAGATAAGCTGCTACCAATTTTTTCACCAAAGTTTTAACATCGTGGGGTTTTGGTGATTTGCATTAAAAAAAACAAGCTTTAATGTTTTTTGATCCCATAAAAATAAATTTGTATTATGGACAATGAACGTTATGGATTCTTGCTCCAATCGTCGGTTAGAGTATGACAGCTGCTTGCTGCGCTCTGATTGGCCCGTTTTAAAATTGTAAATCTTCAACTGTAAGAACTGAAACTTCATGGAACAGCAATCATAAACTCGTTTATTTGCGTGAGTTTTTGAGTGATTTTGTGCTTCAGATGTGTAATTTGATTAGTTTTAGTTAAAAATGTGTGACACTCCGTTTAAAACACCTTTTCCCTGTCGGACCGCTCGAGCTGACCTAAACCGAGAGATGTTTGGCGAAAAAGCGGCCTCCGACAGCGATGAAAGCATTGCCTCGTCCAACTCTGATAACATGGGGTCTGCCACAACCCAGTCTTCAAATGGAGATATTTCCCTGGTAGCACAATTCGACGATTTGATGCGGAGCTATCGCCCCCTTAGAAACAACGAGCTGGAGACAATCCCAGCATTTATCGAGTTTGTCGAAGAAGTTAAATTGTTGTTTGTTGATTATTTTCAAGCCTTGGATGAGTGTAAAAGGCTGCAATGTGTCCTTGATAGTAAAGTAATGGAATGTAGCGATTTGGAGAACAAGTTACACTCAGCGCGAAAAATGATTGATAAGGAAAAGCTAATGGTCAGGACGGCACGAAGGGAGAGAGATGAATTAGTCGGTGTTTTGTGTCATTWTGTAAACATTTATTAAGCTATTGTTTTCAGGCGTCTCAGATAAACCTCGTCAAAGATCTTCTGTTCAAAGACAAAAAGTCCACAAGCAGGTTTTCTGACGAAATGAGGCGAAAATTGTCATTTTTAAACAACAACAACAACGGGGAAAGCGACTGGGATTTAACTAGTGCAAACGGAAATGGGCACCAACCCCAACTTAGCGCTATTAAAGAAGTTAATTCAACGGGTATCACGAAAATATWGAAAAATTTAACTCGTTACAATCGTTATTTATTTCAGGATCAATGCTTTCAGACTTCAGTTATTCTCAATCCGAAGATGATTTAGATCATTCGCGCCTCTCGGGAGTTGCGTGGAAGAAGCACAGGCCTAGCACAGGCGGAGTTGCTGAACCTGCTGTTAAAAAACGACGTTCTTCGGGAAATAAAGTTGTTGAGGTAATTTTTTATTTTTTTTTTCACTGTTTGTTGTAAAGCATACTCATTTTTTTAAAGATTGGGGCGGCTGATACTGTTAGAGCAACAACAACCTTAACTCTCAACAAGGATGGCCCCATCACTGCCACTTCTATCATCGAGTCCGTCCCCAAAACTCCGGGAGTTCCGGAACCAGCTCATACGGTTGTATGATCCCAAAATTTTTCGTTTATTTTGACTGAAATAATTTAGGTCGAGTCATACCCAAGTGCCCCTCCCTCAAACCTTGTTTTCGAGTCATGGGCCCGTGGCAGCCCCCGCAAATCTTACCACAAACTCAACGGCAGAGAACATTGTTTCCAACAGAAAACTCTTGTAATGCCTGAAACTTGCGCATGTTGCGATAAACGCATCCGTTTTGGTAAAACTGCCTTCAAGTGCAAAGAATGCAAAGCTGTTTGCCATCTAGAATGCAAGAATAATCTTCCCTTGCCGTGTATTCCCGTGGTGCACACACCAAATCAACGAAACGGAATGGTACGTTACTAGGAAATATCAATTTTTCCATTAATGTTTGTTTGAAGGGGGTGATTGGGGATTACACCCCAACAAGTCCGCCAATGGTTCCAGCCATTCTCATCCACTGCATAAACGAAATTGAGTTGAGGGGGCTATCAGAAATTGGTTTGTACCGAGTTCCAGGCTCAGAGCGTGACGTTAAAGCGTTGAAAGAGCGGTTTTTGAAAGGGAAAGGAGCCCCTTGTCTCAATCAAATTGACATTCCTGTTATTTGTGGAACTGTCAAAGACTTTCTAAGGGGTTTGCATGAACCGATCATTACTTACGCCTTATGGAAGAAATTTGTACAAGCCGTCAATGCTAAGGACCCAATTGACATACAACCAGCTCTGTATCAAGCCATATCAGAGCTTCCACAGCCAAACAGGGATACTCTAGCATATATGGTTTTGCATCTTCAGAAGTACAAAAAACATTGCAATTGGAACTAGTTTTAAAATTTTTGTTTTCAGAGTGGCAGAAGCCAAAGAGTGCAAAATGAATATCACTAACCTTGCCAAAATTTTCGGACCTACCATAGTTGGCTACTCGTCCGATGATCCAAATCCAAACCACTTGTTGGATGAAATTGCCCAACATAATATGGTATGTTTTATGGTATGACAGTTCAGGTTGGGAAATGTCCACTTCCTAGCCTGAACTGCATGTTATGTTTTTTTAAAGTTTGATAGATTCTTTAAGAATGATTATTTATACGAACTTTGATGGTTATTTATCACACATTCAAATTTAAAACAAGGAGTTTTGTTAGGTAATGGAACATTTGCTGAACATTCCTTCGGATTACTGGTCCGGTTTTATCAATGTCGAACCGACTTATCAACGTGGAAAATTGCAACAAACCCCAAGCACTGATTCTTTATTGCGTCCTATAGCTCCTAAAGGACTTTTCACTCCAGTGAGCGCCAACAGGTAGCTCCCACATTACATATCTGAGTTTTTTAATTATCACTTTGCAGGAATTCGGCGAAAAAGAAGCAGAAGTATTTTCCTTCGCCCAAAAACTACCGTTAACGATTTTTAACATTTTAATTTACTTTTAACTTTTCTTTTTGCATAATTATTTACTTTAGCATGTTTTTTTTAAATATTTTTGGTACCAGAAGTTATTTTGTAATTTAGAGATTAAATTGTAAAATAGTTGTGTAAAAATTATACTTTGAAATATATTTATTCCAAAACGTAGTTGTTTCTTGCATTAGCTTTTAGTATCGATACTGAAACCGTCATAAAAGGACGTTGAAATTTAAAAATTTTGGATAACTATTTAATCTAGGTCCAAAACGAGGAACGAAAAATTCTAAAGCGTTCGTATTATGCGCAATGACGAATCGCCCTCGGTTTATGACAGCACGATGAAAGACATAAAATCCGTCAACGTCATGGGGAGTGATTAAACAATACAGCTGAGGTCACGATTTGGGGCGACATTCACAACCTTACATAAGAATTGTAGGGATAAACGCTGAGGTAACAATGGGATTCCAGGAAGATGAGTTCAACATTATGGCCTCTGAGACTTTCCGATTTATCATTTGTCTTGTGAGGATAATAACAAGGTGATTCGTTCCAGTTGAGTTTCTTCGACGTGTATAAATGTGTGCACAAGTGTCAGGGGTAATAGCAATTTGGGCCAATTTAATTAACGGTGGATCAAAGAAATGAACACAGCTGACATAATAATCTATCTATCTCACAATAAAATATTTGTACACTTACTTGCTATACTTACAAGGTAGTACATGAGATTAAAATATGGTAAATTGATCAGTCATTCGTTGTTATTTTACAAAAAATGGCTATTGCATAATTAAGTAAAATGGCTAACATTAATCACTACGAAAATATCGATTTGTACAATGACAAAACTCATTTAATTCTTATCAGAGATCACTTTTCGCAGCTTATCGAGCGCAAAAAGCAATAAATAGGACCTAAATAATACTATTATTAAAAATGTTTATTAATACATCATCCCGGGATGTACAGCATTTCCTCTCTGGAAATATACATTGGGGTTACTACTCAAAGTCGGCTCTAGGGTTGTGTAGACGTTGCCGTCGTCAGGCCGCAAAAACACACCACCTAAAAACAAAACAAAAATTAATTAAAAAATAACCACTAGTTGCCACCACCCATATGTTAGAGATTTTTTGAGTCGGTTACTCGGAAGATTGCATCCACTTTTTCCTTCATTATTTGAGTCGAAAGCGCTACATTAAATAAATTAGCGTATCATGAAAGCGCTTTTCCGGCCTTAACGGCTAATAGTTTTGAGAAGCGAGCGCCAATTACCATAAAAAAACACCAATTTGTTGTCGAGCAATAAAATGATAAATTATCATGTTGGTCTCAGTATCATTATCAGACAAATTAAATCCGGTAATTTATTACACTTAACTTACTAATTGTTTAATTAATATATTCGTCCATATACGGTTTCAGAATTTCCCTAATGAATTTTAAATTGCCTCTATTGGAATCCAAGTTTCACACTTTACTTTAACAGTACGTTAACGGTTCGGTTTAAATTAATTTCTGTAGAACTTTTTTCGGTGAGACTATAACTCAGAAAGTGGAACAAAACACGCATTCCCCGAGTAGCTCGGTTACAGAATGGCACATTGTATCCGGTTATTGTGATTAACAAATCAATAAATGGTAATTTACTCTGATTAAATGCTCTATCAACAGTAATGTAAGACAATCGCACCACCACATTGTTGCTTAAAATACCGTCAGCATTTCAGGTGCTTCACAAACGGTTTGAAATCTCATCACTAAGGCTCGGATTATATGCAAAATGCATACCTATTTGTTATTAAGAGGTATGTCAACAAAATTATAAGTTTACTATTCATATCTAATGTTTTTTGATTAAATAGGCCAGTTAAAAAATATGCATATTTTGGCAACTTCGTGCATATTTTAGGAAATATTGCATATTTGTGCATATTTTCTTCAAATCACAAATTTCTGATTAAAAATTTCAGTTCAAGTTAAAAATTAGACAGTTTAAGAAAAAAGATCCTATTACAAAATATGTTAAAGAGAAAACAACCGGTAATTAGTAAGCCGGACTCAAAAAATTAGTATCGTGCTAAGTGTTTCCTTTTTGAATCCGTTTTATAGAGGGTGAATATAAAGTATGGAACTAAGCGTTTTTTTTAATCATTTGCCTCTAGAAAATAATACTTAATATAAAATAGAGTAATATAAAAATGTGATCTTATTTTGAGAAAAAAAAAATTGTTTTGTTTTTGAGTTATGCATTTTTTTGTCAAAATTGCCATATATGTAAAAAAATACTAAAAAAAAAAATGAATATACAACTGGATAGTTGTAATTTTTAGATCACAACCTTAATGAAAAAAATGTTTTTTAGTGGGTTGTAATTTAAAAAAAAAATATTTTTATAGAAGATTTTGAAAAAAAAAATTTTTTTGATAAAACATCACATTTTTACAGTACTTTAGCATTCATTAATTAGTTCTTCCAAAAAATAAATAGTTTAAGCAAAACACGTTTGGTTCCATACTTTTTATTTACCGGTATGGCTATAATCCTTCCATTCGGATAAGTAGTTGCCTGCAAGTAAATTTTAGCGAAAGTGATGTGATCTGAAAAGTAGAGATTTCTTAAAAAAAGTTAATTACTAGATTATTAAAATGGCTTGTCTGAGGCAAAACCAATTTATTTTTATTTATTCTCTTTCGTTCAAGATGCCGAAAATACAAAGTCGAGAATAAAAATTTATCCCAACTTTGATTTTTTATTGTTAAAAGTTTTGCATATCAATGTACATTTGGCATATATTGGAGCATATTTCTTAATATCCTGTGCATATTTTTGTGAAAATTATTTATTCTGTGAAAAAATTTTTCGTGCATATAATCCGAGCCTTACTCATCACACACAAATTGGATGTCGACAGGATTTAGCAATCTTAGAGATTGATTCAGAGCTTTGAAATTATTTCAAGGATCATCCAAACACAATTTTCGTTGCCAATGTTTTTGAAATTTTGCACATTTTTTGGTGAATGACGTAAGGATTTTCTTCAAAGCTTGCGGCAAATCAGCCAAATTAGACTATTCATACTAACTCAACAGTTTTGCGCAGATTTAGATTAAAGAAAACGATTTAATTTAACAAACGTTGTTCGCTGATTAGTCACCAGGCATGCTGAAGGCAAAGACGTCGTGCGGGTCAACAGGTCATTTATTCAACCAAAACGCGAAGTAAAGACAATTGCCGATGCACAATTTACATTCCTGGGAAGAATTAATTTAATTTGCATTAATTTGTACGTCATGCGGGAGAGATAATTATTATTGTACACCAGTGAACCGATAACATCTACTAAAGATAGCGAAAGTAACTACTATTGTGGTAATTGTCATAGGAGAATTGCATTCTTAACTTTTATTACAACACTGATAGTAATCAGGGAATCACATACCCACTTTTCTCAAAAATGTTTATATGACAATAGCTTGTTAACAAAATAATACTTATAGAAAGTTGGACTGGACAAGTGAAATGTAAATAATTTCCTTTATCATACACAACAGACTTTTCCTTTCCATGAAAACGACACTTTATTATTTACATAAAATCAAATGTTGGAAACATATTGCCTACAACTAGCATACTATACTCTTTTTCATATTAATGTGCATCAAGTAGGTTGTAGGAGTCTAAATGCATCTTTAATTTAAAGGCCCATTCACACAAAAAGTGTCATTAATATCATTCAGAACAAATTTGATCACATCAATAATGACACAAATCTTTATGTTTGCTACCATATGTTATTTACGTTGTTAATTTTAATTATTGTTTGCTACTTGGGGTACACATTTAGTTGAAAATGATCCCTTTCAACGACTACTTCGATGCACATTAATATGGAAACGAGTATACACTGATGGACACGGAATTTTGGACATCAAATTTATGACAGTTCAAAAACTGTCAATGTAAGCCACGCTTTATTGTCAGTATGATTGACGTTTGAAACTAAAATTGGAAAGTTTTAGTTGAAATTTATTTTTGGCTTCCCAAGCTATAATGCCAGCAATACGTGTTTTTATACTTATAAGTTCAATAAATTATTTTGATTTGTTGTCATTTATTCTCTAGCTCTCAGGATAAAAATTACAAAAACGGAAAGTGAGATTAGTTCTCTATGGTACGTTTTACATTTTTATGTCAGTCGAATGATAAATCGTCCCAAATTCCGTGTCCGCCACTGTAGCAGTGTGAACAGTTTTTCGGAAATTGTCCCCAAAGTGAACGAAATAATTTTAAATTAATCCAAAACAGTAGGTAAAAAAGCACTGTTATTGTCTCAAATGTCATTGTTTGAGGCCGAAACCAAACAATACACCAATTCGTGATAAAAAATTTAACTTTAGTGCCTTGTTAAGTAACATTTTTTTAACTTCAGAAATTTTTAACAAAATTGTAGAATTACTGATTGTTAAAGCTGTCATTTTGGTCAAACTTTATAAAACAATCATTTTAAATTAAATGATTTTTTTATCGATTTTTAAAGCTATTTATTTTCAAGCTTTTTATCAGTTCTCAGATAAGTCAGAGAATTTCTTTAACACCTGTATTTATTTATAAGTCAGGGGCCGACTAAAATGCCACTTTTGACCCTCAGTAAATTCTTTTCCGAGTTTTAAACACGACATTACAGATATTATTACATAAATTCGGGGAATTCTCAAACGTTGCAGCAAAAACTAAATTACAGAGCTGTACAGACGTCTCCAAATTACTCTCATAAATTTCAATTGCATTCATTTTTAATTTTACCGAATTTTTTAAAAATTCAAAATTGTGGTCACAAAACTGTCAGTTACAGCCAGTCGATAATAATTATTATCTTCGATGAAGATGTCAATTTAGAAATTGTTGATTAGATGATTGCAGACCGTGGTACATGATTTAATCACGATGACAGCTCAACTAATAAAACTGTTAAAGCTCTATTAAATTTATTACTTCATTTTTAACAGCGCTGCGCGAGAGAACGTTTAAATTGATTAATTTTTTTTACAAAAATGCGCATTTAATTGAGGTGGGCATAGTATCTTATTGATTAACTAATGTCGTGTCTTGTTAAAGAGAAACCTTCCAACAACTTTAACCCTCATTAAAATATTAATTATTTGCACATGGCATGTTTAGTTCTAAGTTTTGAAAGAAACTCTAATTACAAGTTTAGTAGACAATTTCCCAGTTGTGCTTGTGTTACTGTGAGAATAGCGAGAAACGCATTGTAACAATTAACGTGTACGATGTATTACTAAACTACTAAACATAAGTTTATACATAATTCATATTTCCCACGGTGTATCGCAAGCTATTCATACAATTTAAAAATGATTACTGCTTTTACCCGTATAGCAAAGAAAGTGAATAAGTTGCGAGAAACACAATGGATGTTAGAATTACATGAGTAACTTTGTGAGAATCCCCGAACAAAAATCCACCACCGTTTCCTTCATCATAATAAATTTTAATAAACGCACCGAGACTGAATAATTCACAGTTGACAACTTATTTCGAAACTCGACATTGATTGATTCGATGTATTTATTATTGTTTACATAACAGAATAGAAACCATTGAAAATGTAAATTAGGTCTAGTGTAGGTGAGCCTTAAGGCTACGTGCTTGAACAATGAAGCAGGTTCCGCAGTTTTCACACACCAAGGGATATGTAGATCTAGATTTAACCCAGTGCTGGCGAATTATTACAATTTTTGCACGACTCGATGTGCGGCTAGCGATATCACCTACTAATTAACATCTAGACCATGCTAATATGACCGGACTTTCCAAATGAAATTTTGCTCCAGACTAAAAGAGTCTCAACATAAAATTGTTCTTTCAATTTCGAAAAAAACGTCAAATTCTTGTGCACTTCAAATGGTGATTAGTGTACACCTCAGTGGGGCAGCGAGGAGGAGGTTTTGGGGGTTAAACACCCTCCCGACAAAACAAAATCAAGAAAAATAATTTGGTAGTGGTAATAAAACTAAAATTATATTTTAGAAACAACCATATTAAACATTCAAATTTTGTGTACAATTATTTTCGATGTTGTCATAACTTCAGAAGATTCACCAATTTTTACGTTTTTTATTTTATAACTTGCGGCCAAATCGATTGATCGTTTAGAAGTAATAGTTGAATTAATATTTTGGATATTTTTGACTTTATTAGCAATTTTCTCGATAACTATTTAACAATTATCTTTTTATATACTTGATAAAAAATTAAATTTGCTTTCCAACGATATCAAACAAAAAGGACTAGGGCCAAAAAAAAAATTCAAAGTTATTAGCAATAAACCCCTCCGAGTGTCGAAACTTGTCCAAAATTTCGAGTCAACATGTGCACATGTTCTAAAAAGAATAATAAGAAAGAGAGAGAGTATAAAAGCAAATAAGAACGCAAGCGCATCACAGCTTCCTTGATTAATGAAACTTCCTTCATTAATCAAGGAAGCTGTGAAGCGCATAATACTAACTTAAATCTAACTTAAATAAGCACTAAAAGATGGCGGGCGGTATAAGAGCGCGAACTTTAAAACATATATCTACAAAAGTGTTCATAGTGTAATAAGTTAATAGTGTATAAGCAAACTAAAGGTAAGTTAAAGAAAAGATACAAGAAAGGTAAGTTAAAAATAAATAATTATTATCACGAATACATATTATGTACAAAAAATTCAAATTAATGTAAAAGATAAGATCACCAGAGTTTTAAAACATACGCATAAAGCTAAAGTAGCATAAAATGTATAATAAAAATTATATAAATAAATAAAAACCCATAGGAAAATTATTGTACGTTAATTATGTGTACAAACAGTTTTGTACAATTTTTTTCTGTACAGTTATTGTATGTCCCATACAAATTTACTTTTATTGTATGATTCGTTCCTCAAGGGAACACATATGAAGTATGTCCAGACATACAATATTAAATCGCTTGAAAATAGCTCAAATTGCATAAAACTACTTTCAGAATAATCCATTTAAATCTTCTTGAAAGAACTACAATTGTTGCATTGAAGTTATTTTTTAATGAATTTTAATTTTTTTTAATTGTACCTAAATATGCTATTTAGTTGAAAAAAAATTCTTTATTTTCTGTGCAATAAAATAAATTTGTTTTGTACAAGTAATTATTGATTATTACAATATTTTTAATGGACAAACATATAACTTATATAACTTTTATAAAGTCGGTTCACACGTAGTATGTCCAAACAATGACGCTAAAAATTGACATAATAGCCAATTTTGAATTTAAAGATCATTATTATTTAGTAATTTTAGATTAGTAAAATACATTTCAACGCACTCAGAAAATTTTGAATATTATTGAAATGCGCACATTAGTAAAGCAGCTGCACAAAGTTTCAAAATGTATTTACTCGAAACAAAAAAAATGGACATACAATAGCCACCGATGTGCGATCAAAAAAATATATAAATTAGAAAAAAAAAATTAAAACTTTGACAAGTTTTTCATTTTTAGTGAAATAATGTTCACTTTAGAGCGGAAAATTTTTATTGTTGCAAGTTATTACAAAAATGCTGTACAAGACGAAAACGGTCATTTTCACTTTCAGTTTGTGTGGAAAATTTCCAGCCTAGATTTCCAGCCAATGTGTTGCCAACTGTAGAATTAAATCGACGTCTACTCTAATTAATTTTTTTTTTGATCCCACGGTATTAATAAGTGTGATTTAAAAAGAATTCTAATGTTTTTGTTTAAAAAAAAACATTAGGTCATAAGGCTTTTATATTATTTTATATTTAAAAATAAAAAAATAAAAGCTTCCGGTGGCAAGTTTGCCTTGATTTTGTGTTAAATACTAACTGCACTAGTCAATAATATTCATGTGGCGCAGCTAAATTATTACACTCACTCCAAATAAACATGCAACTTTGCCACAAAATTATCACTTTTTTCCCACTCCTTATAACATGATACACTATTTATTTATTTATTTTATTTATAGGTAAAAAAGCAGTTCGTAATTTTAATTCATAACTCATATAATAAGTTTATTAGAACAATATAAAGGTTAAAGGGCTTATTTGTTGCCCTTAGAATCTTCGCTTAGATGCGCTGATGTCCGTCACATTTTGATCATGACACGCTGGCGGGATTTATTTCTATGAATCTCATTATAACGTTAATTACTATGCAAATATTATGCAAAGAACACTCGATATTATAAATTACATGCGTTTTTGTTTATGTGGTGGCTAATTACAAGAGTGCGTGCTGTCGTTTAGCTTCTTTTTGTGTTTGATTAGTGTGAAAACGAAAGTGTTTGGTTAGGAAAGAAGGTACTACGTACTAAAATCTAAAATCTACATCTACATCGTGCACTAATTATGAAATATTTACATGCCAAACAATGACCATGCATATGTTACAGACCTGGGAGATACCGTGTGGAGTAGTACCCCGGTGGGCTGGGGTAGCACTGATATTGATACAGACGAGTATAACTCGGCGGTGGCGGATACAAGGCCAGATCTGAAATATACACACCATTGTGCAGTCTATATACAGTGCACCATTTACACTATTTACATAAAAAATTAAAAAGGAAACAACAACTAAGAGATTGGAGGAAAAAAAGCGCACAAGAGAGCTTGCCAACAAGTTACAAGCTCTCCTCCACTTTGAACAAATGCTAACGTACTACTGTATGTAAATTCAGTCGATGAATAATCATCAGAAGTTTGCTTTTAAGAGTAAAACAAGTACCGTGTTCACCCTGTATTTACATATATTAATTGAAATTCATAAAGTGAGTATTCAGCTAGCAAAGTTCTATGAATATTATCAAGATGAACAACTCGGTGTACGTAACATGAAAATTTTCTTTGTAGATACGTATCATATCAATTCCCATTGAAAAACAACCAACAGCTTAATAATCAAAACATAACATCCGTTTTCGAATTTGAATTTCAAGTGTTAAAGCTACTGGAACTGTAATGTTTTATATCTGTCTTGTTCATTAAAAACACTTTGCTACTAACTATGTACCAGAAGCGATGTTTCAACCAGGACAACAAGGATAACCATAGTATGTTCTTGTAAGAATCACATGTTAATGATGCTTTCCCGTCTCCGGTTCCCATATACAAAGAAGATTAATTCACTGAGAGAGAATAAGTGACAGGAGAGGTATGGAATTTCCCTTAACCATATTCCATAATATGTTATTGTGAAAGATGGACACACATTATTGACTGACAATAATTATCATTTATTTTGTTATGCCTCATAGATGAATTGTTAGAACAACAAACGCTGAAGATACAAAGATAGAAGCGTTGAAAATTTACGCTAGTAATAATTAAAAAAGCCACCTTGAAAATTATTTGTCAACAAAGATATTGCTCTCAAAATTAACGTTTTTGCTATACGCACACACCTAGAACAGGTGTTAATTCCTAATACTGGGTTTTAGTTTTTGCATGTTTATTTTTGCTGATTCATACAGCAATTAATTTATTTAAATTATTTTTTGCCGCAAGTTCAAGGGTACTTTCTGTATTATCGGGGCATGTGGCTGTGGAAAAATTAGTTTGAAAATTGAGCCGCACAAAGCGGTTCAGATCTATACATATAAGAGCTATTATGCCGAAGAAAAAGCATTAATATACCGACATAATAGCGATATAGTCCTATCTGATTTTGCATAATGGGCATACTTTGAACGGTACCGATGTGTAGTAATAACACAATAAAATTAAAAAACTTTAAACAGTTAGATACATATTTCTCATCACAACTATAAGCGGTTGTTATCTCATAAAAATTCAACTGTCAGGTAATTTATTTCTCTATTCATCATGAAGACATCACCAGAGTGCGCCTTATTGCTATTCAGGTGTGGTGTGTTTTATGTGCGCACTAAAATGCCGCCTGGCTTTGTGACACCCTTGCATTTCATTGCTTTTTAAAGCAATTTCGATGAAAAATTTGGTTCAAGGTGTCCCAAGTCAGTAATTATTTTTAAGTAAACAAAGTGTCTCAGAAATGAGATAAAAAACTGAAAAACACCTCCTTTTTCTTTTTACTTTCAGGCTTTTAATGTTGATATTTTTAAACTTAACCACAAAAATTGATCGATTTTGCTTAGTTTTCAAACAACATACTGTTTTTAAAAATGTACGAGGTATAGTAAAACTAATTTTTACTATTAAGTGTAAAAAAGTACAAACTTTAAAGCTTTAAACTTTTAACGATCTACAACCACATTGTTGAAGAAATAAAAAAGTTTATTAAAAGTTAAAAATAATAAAAAACTAGGTATATTATGTTTTGCAGAGGTTATCAGAATTTTTTTTTAAACAAATTTTTAATTGACTACAATTATCTAATAAGAAGTGTCATTTACTTTTTAATTTTTTTGACGGCAGTAGCCTAAAAGAATTACAGTGCTACTGTTTATACTGTTAAAGTAAGAAGTGAGAAGCTTGCTTTTCTCTAGTGTTCTTAGATTTTGTGCAATAAATTTTTAAAAGACCGTTTTTGTCAAAGTAATGAAGCTAAACCGACCAATAAAAGTTTGACTAAAAACGTCAAAATTAAAAGACTATAACCTTAATTAGAAAAAAAGTGTAACTTATTTCTGAGACACGCTGTATACATGAAATTAATAATTAAATTAATTTCATTGTTTTTCTTTCATTTTACTCACTGGGACACTAAAAATTAAAAAAATGCTCAATTTATGATGTAACTCGTGGCATTAAAATCATGTTAATATATGCACGTTCTAACATTATCAGGCTATAAATTTGCAAAGCTGCCAATTTAAGATAAACAATATTAATTTAGATGTGAATACATTTGAAACATTTTTTTCAATGTTGTTAGCTTTGTCAAAATGGGTCAAAATGGGTCGTATCTTTCTCAAACGCTGATTGGCATGGTACAGTAATTATTAATAATTATTGGCATTACTGGCCGTGATATAGGTATTATCCGCGTCTCTTTAAAAGGCGTAATTGCCAGTTAAAGTGCGAAATTTCCACCAGGAATAGACGTAACCAGTCTATAAATTTTATTACAGTACGCGAGTTATGCTACTGGTAACAATTTAGCGAACTTATAATTTTAATTGTTCCACAGAGGCAAATTTAAATAGCGGTAAAGTAAATTTCAAAGACCAGAAAGAATGAAGAGTTTTGATACGGTTTTGTGAAGAGAAAATTACAATTGTCGACTCGTTTTGCTAGATAAGTTTTAGGTGTTCCTAAACACATCTCCCAACTTTTACTAGCCAAAAATTTGGGTTTTCGAGGTTAATGAATAATTAGCATTACGGAGCATGCGTTCGCTAAAATTCTAATCAGATAATTAAGCAAATTATTTCATATTGCGATAATAAAATGAAAATTTGGCCAAAATCATAGGCAAATTTTTTGGCTTTTTTTCTGCACTAATTAGTAAGTCTAATAGACACGATGAAAACCGTGATTTATGATTCTTTTGTGTGCATTTAAATCATAATTGAAGACGCTTCACCGGCGCCTTTTGTGGAAATTCATTTACACCTTTCGCAATAATTTACATAAGTGAAGTGCTTTTATCCGAATTTTTATTCGTCACTAGATGTTGAAAAACAATGTTATGTACAAGATAAACACACCCACAATTTGGCTGCTAATCGTGGGCGTTTATCTTGATTTTTTAATATTTTACGATTGGACATAAATGTTAACTGCCGTAAAATTGCCATTTAAAAATCGGCACTTAGTTTTTTACTTTTGTCGTATTGACAGCCTGGAAATTAGTGTGAAATCGGTTTTTATACGAATTTTAAATATAAATTTAATTAAAATTACCTCTTTTAATTCGCAGATAAAAGAAAAAATATAGTTCATCCACAGGGTGCGCCAGAACTCGCGCCCCAGAAAAAAAAAAGACAGTTTTAATTTTGTACTTTGACGCTATTTATTTTTTTTCTATTGAAAAAATAATTTTCCAAGTTTTTTTGCTACAGGCTATTAGAAGAGAGAAAAAAGAAGCTGAATCCTAAATTGTAACTCTGCTTAATGTTATTTGTGGCTTTTATTGGCAAAATTTTTGTACCTTTACTAAATAATCATAAAAAAACATTTACAAAAAAAATTCTTTTTTACGAACGGCTCTATAATCTTTATTAATCTTTTATTTCACAATATTTAATCAGAGAGTGCAGAGGACGCAAAATTTTCCCAAATTTAAACTTTTTAAGTAATCTTCTGAGGTAGAAACCAGAACTTGAATAAAAAAGTTAATAAGTGTCTGTAGCACCATATATGAAATATTCCTTGAGGCTACCAACTTCCTTAGTCTGGCCATGAGATTGCGGTTAGTGTTTTATGTTGAATACTTTATTTCTCTATTTGTGGTTGCCCTAATAACATTCATTTCATGTTTGTTTTTCTGAAGGAAAATTAATACAATTTTTGTTGTGGTTACCTTTTTAGAACATTATTAGAGTTGTGCTTTTTAATCTTGTCCAATCACCGACCTTGATTTTACATAATACTGTGGCCAAAAAAGTGACTTGATCTTGTGCATCACAAGCTCATTAAAACGAAATAAATTATTAAAAGTCCTTTCGGCTTGAACCTCATATTAAAAAAAAATGTATATTTTAACCTACTTGCGCAAATGTGAAAAAGGCACTAAACTGGTTGGTTGTTAGACTTAAGAAGTCAAAACCAGTCTGCAGTTGTCAAGAGATCAGTCGTTAATTCATTGACTTCTATGCACTTGAAGACTAGTTGAGTAGGAAAAGTCTTGAACGGATTCTATGAGCTATTACAGTTGTTCAATTACATGCTTGAAAATACGGCGTAAGCAAGTGGAATCTTCCAGTGCTATAATCAAGATTTAAAAGTAAAATAACGCACTACGAATTCATTTGAAAGGATGTAATAACAGCAAGGACCTATATGTAATAAGCGTAAAATAATTACAGTAATATAAACTCAAACTAAAATAAATACCGTGTTTGTATTATTGCAGGATGTAAGTTTTAGTTACCTGCATAAAACGGTCAGTGGTAAATGAGGGTTATTTATTATATGCTCATCACTACTTAACACGCCAATAATACCACAAAATTAAATGATGTTTTGTCTTTATCTGCTTTAATGTAAACACATACAAGTGGCTTGTTTGAAGTAAAAATTTTACTAGCCTCTGCAGTAGCAAAACAAACTTTTACGCATTTCTAGTTCCGTCGGCGCCGAAAGTAAACCCAAGATCCAAGCCATTAATAAAATTACCAAATGATCAATAAAATAAACCTTAAATACGCCATAAAAGCCTCCGAAGAGCTACCCCCTAACGCGTTTCATTTAAATTTTCAAATGTGTTATTAAACTAAATTTCCACAAATTAATATTTTACTACCAAGAAGCAAGAGCGGTGATTCTACTTCACTTGGACGGTTTTATAGTACTGAAATGAAGTTTAGTAGCAATTTTGGAATTTATGTACACATTTACTAAATTGAATTATAAAAAATCAGTAAACATCTAAAATTACGTAACAATTATGACTCAAAAATCACGTATCAAGGTTAATTTATCACAAATATTGTATAGTCATCTAAAAAATTAAAAGTGTTTAATTAAAAACGAATAAACAAACAACTATCATAATGGTGCTAAAAATTTATGAATTTTTTTGGGTATCACAAAATCTCGACTATGGCAATCGAATATTTTCCTGTCTCGTCTGGTTAACTGCCTGTCGCGTATTTACACCAACATAGAACTAGTTTTGCAGACATCCTTCCTGCAGATGATACTAGTTCTAGCACTAGCGATAAAAATCCAGCATTCGCACGTGACAATTTGCCGGTTTTTGCTATTTATAGACATTCTTGTAAGGTGAACAATCGCATCGGTCAGATGAGAGTACTAATTACACTACCGGAAGGAAGCGTTACGCCTCGTGTCTCAAATCTGTCCAACTCGTGGCAGATTTTAGTGCACAATTTTGTTACAGACAGATTATTTCTGAAAAACGTGCATTCTGGACGTTCATTTTTCCGGCCAGTGATTGCGAATTATGCGAAATTAATTCTAATGGTGGGCAATTAGAAACAAATCCATTTAGCAAAGCTAAGGAAAAGTAGACTAATTTTTTGAAATAATTGTTATTTTATTTATTTTGCATTTCACTTACTATCTATACCTCGATATATGAATTTAATTAGAAGTGAATATGCTATTAAAAATTAATCAAGTCTTGCTTTATCCTGTAAATTATTTCTGAAAATTCGACTTCTAATTTACTGTTATCTTGGTATAAAAAATCTAATTTCGCCGATAATAACACAATAATGTTTAATTTAACGTGAGTAAACCAATAACACTCTCTATAATGCCCAACACATATGTGGGTATCTAATAACAATAAAATTTACATCTTGTTACAGATGAACAGCTTTTTCTTTATCTTTGTTCTGTAACAATTGTAAAATTAAATTGTTAAAAAAAATTAACAAAAGGTGTCCCAAAGGATAACGACCTTTCTGAATTTTTATTCAAACACAATTGACGAATTGGAAAAAATACTACTCGCAATTATCATACAATAATAAATTTATAATAAGGATCAGAATTGTCGTGAAGATGTGCCAACATACGGGTACCATTAAAAATGAAGAATGAAGACATTAATCGGGTTTTACGTTCGACAAAAGAGCATTTCACACGATTTATTTATTTAAAATTTTGTTTACATTTATGTAACACTGTTTCCTAGTTTACCCACATTCTTTACGACATTCGCCTTGAATTCCAAATGAACATAAAACACCTTTAAACGAAAAAATTTTTCTTTGTACATATTCTGTATTAATTAAACTCGGAATTACACACTCTATTAACGCATGGTTTAAACGTATCAGTTAGTTATTGTATAGTGACTAATCATGATCGTGTACTAGTTTAATTGATGTGTAAACACAAGAAAATTTAAAGTTTGTGGCGTCATGATGAAGTTTTCTGCTCTTGTTATAAGATAGCCCGAGGATTCTCCAATTCTTTAGCACCTGCATCTACTCGCCTTACACCATAGTAGATCTATATCTCGCCTTATAAACAAATATTAGATTTCACTTCATTAAGTAATAAAAATTAAAAAAAAATCTACAAAGTGCCATAACGTCAGCGTACTTATTTATTTAATTAACGCTACTCCAGACGATTTAGTTTTTCCAAAGAGTTGGAATGTGAATTCCTCGTGATTACTGTCGTCTACTTCACATTCTTATCCGGTGTAATCTACCATAAATTAATTCAATAAATTAGTTGTTGATTATGTAATATTTAAATTTTTGCTCGATTCTATATCAAAATTAGTATAAAATACGACAGACGAATTTAAAAAAGTAGTAGCGCAGCTCTTTAGATCATCGTGTCAAAAAACTGGAAAAACTTAACGACGAGCAAGTTTGGACGCAACACGTAAAATTACTTAAAATAATTTGAAACTAAAATTGTTGATTAATTAGTTTAAAGTGCACTTAAACTTTCTCACAAGTGAAAAGAAATTTAGTAAAAATTTATTGAAGTAGGTAATTATAAAAAAAATATAAGTATGTCAAATGAAAATCACGTCACGAATCTGAAAATTAGGAAACGAAAACCTCGCATGACTTTAGACACGTTTCCGTTTCTCTTCTTACAATAAGGTTAATTTCTGTAAAGTGTGCGTTTAGCAAATGATTAAAAAATTGCTATTCTATGACACAAAAATACTTTTTTAAATTGATGAGTTTTGTGCTATTATCATAATCCATCAATGACCATATTTTGCTCATCCAGAGATGAGAAAAAACATAAATTGTATGTAATTACCTAACCAGTTAATCACTTAACGAGGTATCTGCATGTTTTTTAAACAAATATCCGAATAAATTGTACAAACAACAATTTTTTTGGGGTTTGATTGTTGTAATTATAAGAGTAAATCTGAAAAAAAACTATGCTTACGGAAGATTAATGAGTTTGTTTTTTGAAAATTTGCGTAAACGCTACTATTCTTTGTTAGTCAAGGCTAAGTAGCCTTTTCCTTGATCGAGTTGATGGCTTTTGTAATCAATAAACTGATTAGAAGTACAGGTGTGTGATTTCTTTTTAATAAAATTATTGCTTCCGTTTTACCATACGGTGTTGGCAAAACTGAATTTAAGTTGAAAGTGGGAAAATTGTAAGAAAACAACAGGTGCAGAAGAGTAGTTGAAAATTTGGTATTTAATTAGTCAGTGGCCTAACAATCTAAGAGTAATGTCTACAAAATGATAAGTATTTAAAATCTTATATACTTGGTCTTGCTAGTCTAGTATTGTTACGCCACTGCATTTAGCATTTTAAATATTTAGATTTGAGAGAAATTAGGAGTAAGACAATAGTAAGCAATTTCTTTATGCAAGCGCCCAAGCAAGAACTCGAGGAAGGTGTACTATTAAGTCCATACCAAATTATTTCGCATTTAGCTTATCTAATTTTGCAAATTATTCAAATTTATTCGATTCGTATCACTTTCGCTCCGCTAATTGTACGAACCTTCCTCGGTGTAATCGATTACTGGAAGATAAACGCCCTGGTGGGTGTTTATTGTGATTTGCTGTGTTTTTTGCTTCATACCTCCTCCGATGGTGGTGACGGTGTGTTGATGTTTATGCGAGGTGCCATGGCCAAGCCCATATTTCATGGGTTTAAAATGAAAAAATGACGGGGAATACCCCGACCCTGCCCTACTCAAAGAACTAAAACGCTCTTCTCTATCCTCGACATAGACACCTTCTTTGCCCATGGCGGCTAGTTGTCTTCCTTTCGGCATAAACATGATGAGGAACACCAACGCCGAAGAAATAACTAGTCCGAAAGCAATGCAGGCGTCTCTGTGTCTCTCGCTGACTACGAACCCACTCAAGATCCACACTAACCACGTGGGGATGCTACAGCCAACGGAAAGTCCGATATAAGTCGCTTCTCGATAATTGTCTCTGATCCCACGGGATTTCACGGCGAGGACCGTCACGAATAAAATCAAAAATATCACGTAGATCAGCGAGAAGAGAATGTCGACGTAAGCGGTTCGGCACAGAGGTAACACCGTAGGATGGGCGACATCCTCAGCGGTCACCAGGAGTCGGTGTTTGCTGGGGACGGCCTCGAAGGTGACGTTGTCAACAAGTGGCGGGCTAGTGAGCAGCCACTGGCCCCCGATGGCCACCTGGATGAGAATAGCGAAGAGCAGCAGCAGCCCCTGGTAGGGCGCCGGCAGGTACACCCCCCCGTTGAGGCTGATGAGGAAGACGCACTTGACCAGCAGCGAGGCGAAGACCACGGCGTAGGCCACCCCCGTACCAAAACGCACCACGGCGCAGGTGAGCTGCGTGGGGGCGGCGGCGTATACCGCCCCCAGACCAGCGCAGGTGAACAGCCCCAGCAGCAGCATCTGGCCCAGGAAGAGGTGGCGGCGACTCGGTGTCGTGCGCCAGGCTTTGCACAGCACGAACACCTCGAAACCGATGATGAGGGCCATGGTGATGGCCGAGAGGGTGAGCACCGGGATGACCCAGGCCTCGTTGCGGAACACCCCGCCGATGCGGTCGAGACAGCCCGCGCACGCCGTCACCGTCGCGGGGGCCCCGCTCACCACCGGCACCAGGAAGAACTCGGTGCTCATCTCCAGACGGCGCGCCTGGGCTGAAGGAGGTCCTCGGTCCAGGTCGCCGGCCCGCTTCTGTCGCTCATCTGCAGCCAGCGCCAAGCATGTCGCGATCGAGGCGAACACCACGACGGATCGAGCCATACTAACTCCACTTCGCCATCGCCCTCCTCTTCACATCTGCAACATCATCTCATTAACAGCCGGACTCACCGACGGTTTATTCGACGGTTCGACGGAGTCTTGGCGAGACGTGGACGAGAGGACAGCTACTCCAAACGGTAAATTCGGAGACACGAAATTTTAGATAGATTTTGAGGGATTTAAGTGTTTATGCGGGATTTTAGGTCAATGGTAGCGGACAGGTCATTCTCATTTCTGCCATTCGATTAATGACGTCAATTTTCAATCACAAAAAATTCATTTTCATAGATTTTACATAAAATTTTAGTAACACATATTTTTGGGTAATTAATACTGTCAGAAACTTCTTTTGCATAATACATTTTTACTAACCAGCTTTTGCAAAAATGTAATTCAGTTTTTAACATTTAAACCGTCACTTGTAAGAAAAGAACAACATTTGGTTTATACCGCAAGTAATTAAGATATGTAACCTGACATTCATCGAAATAGATTTGAAAATACATTTTGAGATCATGAGTGACATATAGTATTTTTCCTAATATTTGTTACCACATAGTCAATAGAGTTTTGTTCGTTTACTTGAATAATAAAATTTGGAACTTGGTAAATAATAATATCTAATTATTAGTAATTATTAGTAACCTAATTATTAGTCAATAGAGTTTTGTTCGTTTACTTGAATAATGGGGTTTGGAACTTGGTAAATAATAATAATACCTAATTATTAGTAAGGCTCGTATTATATGCAAAATGCATATTTGTTATTAAAAGGTATATCAACAAAATTGTAAGTTTTCTATGCCTATATAATTCTTTTTGATTAAAATAAGCCAAATAAAAACTACATATTTTGCATATTTTGGCAACTTCGTGCATATTTTAGGAAATATTGAATATTTGTGCATCTTTTCTTCAAATCACAAATTTACGATTAAAAATTTCAGTTCAAGTTAAAAATTGGACAATTTAAGTAAAATGATCCGATTACAAAATATTTTAAAAAGAAAACAACCGGTAATTTAATAAAAATTAAAGTAATATAAAAAGGATCTTATTTTGAGAACAAAATTTTGTGTTGTTCTTGAGTTATTCGATTTTTGTTGTCAAAATTGCAATTTATATAAAAAAAATTAGTTTAATATAAGTAGATCATGACTTTCATGAGAAAAATGTTTTTTTGGTGGGTTGCCATTAAAAAAAATATTGTTGTAGAACTCAAAAACAAATGAAAATTTCGAAAAATTATATCACATTTTTATAGTAATTAGTTTTTTCAAAAAATAAATACTTTAAGCAAAAAACGTTTGGTTCCATACTTTCTATTCACCTGGTATAAAACGATTAAATCTTTTTATGCGTATAAATAGTAGCCTGCAAATGAATTTTAGCAAAATTCTTTGATGGCGAAAATACAAAGTTTAGTGTACTCGAGGATAAAAATTTATCTGGCATATATTGGAGCATATTTTTTAATATCTTTTGCGTATTTTTGTGAAAATACGTGCATATAGTATAATTATTAGTATTAGCACTGTCTATTACGACTGATAATACAGATAAACCTTTATTAATGTAAAAAATTTAACAATTTGGGGTAAGAATAAACATTGTCCGAAGCCCCCTTTAGATTTCCAGCGACAATAAAAAATCGCCAAATATGCATTTTTGAAATAAATATTTCTCATTATATTTTTTGTTTTTTTAATTTTTCATTTGGCAGAAGCCAAGTGAGGCACAGGGGCCGTAGTACGCCACTGCTTTTCTGTAAAAGACGACTTAATGTCGCAGCTAAATGGAAACATTATCTGTCTTAATTTTCTTCGAGGAATTTCGAGCATCGAGATAACACAAAGCTACAAGAAATGTTTTGTATTGTATCTACTCTTGTCATGTAGTGCGACAACTGTAGATGATGTTTAACTGTTAACTGAAGCAAGAAAATAGCAAATAACTAAGAGGAGTAACAGTTTCCTAGTAAAAAATGTTAACGTACTGATTGGTTTTTCAAATATTTTACCAAATCCTTAGAGATTTCAAAAGAGATAATCCCCTGGATCTCTGGTCAAACTCCCCGTTCTCGTCCATAAGTTTCTCTGCTAATCAAAACAGATGACTCCAAACCAATGTAAACACCGAAGATTATTTTGCCAGGTGACATTGTGATGTTAGCTCTCATGTGATATTAGGTCAACGTTATCGCTAAGCGGCTTACGGCGCTCGAAGAACGTTAGATGTATTATTTTATGCATGACAATTAGGTATACAAGGCAATTGCCTTGTAAATTGTCTTAATAAGACCGTTGCTGCGAATACTTTAACGTCATTTTAATTTTTATAACAACCATTATTACAACTATTATCTATGCTATTTTAACACCGTGAAGAAATGTTACTGCTAAATCTGCAAACTGGTTTCAAAAATTTTAATTGTCATGCGGGGATAAATGGGTTAATGGGCTCGAATCCTTCAGAAATATTCTAAACAAATATTTGTGAAAAAATCGAAAGGAGCACAAGAGGAGGCATAGTCACGAAGTGAAGAACATTGGGAACAAGAAGCTCACGATAACACCTCAGGTACAATCTATGGAATTTTCAACATATTCAAATAATAATCGATAGAAAGCTTGATGTTTGATAGACGTGAAATTGTTTTTATTTCGATTTTCTAATCTTTGCTTAATAATGTATCCACGAGATAAAAAATAAGCATTACTTTTCTTTAATTGACTTGTTGTGTCCATTGATGGTACACCTACCTAGCAGAGACCGCTATTCTTGTAGTTATTAATAAAATGCCTTGAATGAAAGTGTTTTGCATTAATTTAAGTGACGCAATCGGAAGATATTCCAGTTCTTGATTTATTAGTTATGAAGCCATTAAAATTTTTCAATGGCAATCCATCTTTTATTATCTTATTTTTGATTCTAATTTTTGTTTATGACTAATAAATAATCTCCAGAAACGGTGCTACACAAGCAGGTGCAGTTTACTAGTACAGTTATATAATAAAGTTTAAAAAACGTCATGTAGAAACCTTTCCTTAATTATATTTCTGGATTTAAGATAATATCTTTAGGACATTTAAAATCGTGCAATTTTGTTCCTGGAAGAGGAGTATAAGACATCTATTTGGTTCGACGGTCACGATCGGCCAAAAAACAGGTATTTTTGAACGTTGTTTAAAATGATCGCCAATTCAGAACATAGCAGACTACCAAAAAAGACAAGACGTAACACTAACTTATTAAGACTTTCGTTTTGTTCTTAAACCGTTTGAGGCAGTAAAATTTTAATTGAACTTTACTTCGAAATAAATTGCCAATTAAGGCGAAAATTTTCATTTATGGTTCAACTACACCAAATCGAACATTAATAAAACTTGTAACTGTTTCAGAACGATCATTTTTATGGGCTTACAGGTTTCACGCACTTCCTAACTGTAAAAGCTTTGTTTCGTTTAATTTTAATGTTTTTTGAGTGAATTACCTTTTAAAACATAACAAATTTCCACGAAGAGATCAATTTTTAATCCATCACATCAAGGCATTTCTTAAATAAGCCGAAAATCGCCAATTACACTAAAATGTACACCATAGTACTAGTATACGAAATAATTTACACATGAAAGCTGATAATTTTAATTTTTTTATGGTCAATCTCCTGTCTTGTACTCTCATTAACCATTTCCAGTGCCCGATAATTAAACCAGATACTTATTGTAATCAATCAAAATCTTTAAATCCTTAATTATAGCCGCATGTCGTGTAGCTTATATTTCAACCATTTTTTTCGATGAATAAAACTTTTGATTCTTTAATTATTTTTTTGCAGAGAAACAAGTCAAAAGATTAGCACACACAATTAAGTTTTTGGACGTTGAACACAACCACTTAATGGCACTATAATCCGCTAATTAATTTTACTTAAATATAAAAAAATAAATAATAAAGTAAATGGGTGGTGTCAGGTAAAAAATAGTATATTATAATGCTAGTTTATAAGCAAGCCTTTAACATACGCACGACGGGTTTAAGAGCACGACGCGTCAGCGGAGTGCTTTTAATGTCGTAAGTGTTTTAAAGGCGCTTATAAGCGAGTGTTATACGCCATTTTTTATTATACCTGCTCATTTACGATCTTTTATGAGCATTGAAAAAATGTGAATTTACACAATAAAATTATCAAAGGTTGTTTGTGAATCGTTTTTGTGAATTTACACAATAAAATTATCAAAGGTTGTTTGTGAATCGTTTTCGTAGAGACGGTTACTAGTTTACCTTATTAAGCACATTTTTTCACGTTGTAATTGGTCCAGACATTTCACTATTTCTTGTTATCTATAATCCATTTCATTTAAATTGGCATAATAGTAGGCCATGATTGTGTAAACTGCGCTTTAAATGTGAAAAAGGCTTTACATATTAAGGAACTAAATTTGTCACTAAAAAAAGTGAGGTTAAGATACTTAAAATTTTATTTTGCAAGAACCCCTTTTCAAAGGTATTCAGAGACAGTTTTTCTCCATAAAAAGTTTCATCCCTTTGTAGGTGTAGTTTTGACACCAAAACATACACTATTTGCTTTGTAGAAAATTCAGACTTTCGTTGGAATTTTAAAAGACGTTTTATTCACACCGGAGATGAAACACAATTTATTTTCCGTGAAAGTTGCAGCCAAAAGGGGTTTGGATTTTGTCATTAAAAATGTAGGACAAAATTGTGAATTTTTAAACAATGGTAAAGTTGTTGCGATCGGAGTGGAAAAAGGAAATCTGTACAAAATGAAGCTTCGCGTACTGAAGCCTGAAAAATCGTGTTTTGCCGTGGATAAAATAATTTGGCTTAATTCAAATTGGTATATTTGATTCCATTAACCTAAAATGTCTAAAACAGGAACAAAAAGAAATTGATTATGTTTTCAAACATACCTTAGCGTGTACTTTAAATCTGGGGTTCTGAAGAAAACTACTTTTAATTATAATTTGAAAAAATAGTAGGAATAACGAACA